AGAAGGAACAGAATTCATTTCACTGTGTCTTAGTCACGCTGGCTTCACAAAGTTATCGGGAAGTGGCAGCAGATTAATTTCTGTCCAACTTAAATCACTGAAGTACAGTAAGTACGTGCAGAGAGAAAGTCAGATGAGTGAAGGGCCTATTTTAAGGCACTCAGCTCACAGGTGCACTAAAATTATGTCTGGTCTGTAAAAACTGGAGGAAGGGACAGGTTTTCTAGTTCTTGTTTAGTTCTTTTATTTTCATAAATGCAAGTACTATTCCAAAACAGTAAAAGGCGGGTGGGGTGGGGTGAGGGGATAGAGGGGGACACTAATCTTTCCACTTATCAAAACTTGCTGCATGGAAAAATATGGTCAAACTTTAAGCTAAGCTGTGTTCAAATGTTTTCCAAGTAATCTTCTTGTACAGTAAGGAGTATCTCTGCCTCTATGCCAAATTTTTATGCAGAGTTCAATGTGGTTTTTCATCCTTTGGGAAAATCAAGAGAAGTTAAAAATCACAGCCCTGACTTTTTTAGTGTATCTATTTTAGTTCTTCATATCAGATTATGACAGTATTACAAAAGAAAACTTCGCCTATTCTGGTTTCCTTTATTTTAAAAGACGGGTAGATGAGGCGCTTAGGGACATGGTTTAGTGGGCATGGTGGTGTTGGGTTGACGGTTGGACTCGATGATCTTAGAGGTCTCTTCCAACCTTAATGATTCTATGATTTTCCTTAGTACGTGGTAATCTTTTCCTCTAAAATTTTCACGTTCAAGAATTACAGGAAAAGAAAAGTCCAAACTGGTGCAGAGCTTCTCCCAAAGCTGCCTTCAAAACAGTGCACAGAAATGCTATATACATAAACTCCACCACCTAGAAGGACGAGTAGCCTCTTGCAGAAGTCAGGGCTGTCTTCATTTACTAGCACCTTTCCAGTGGTGGGGCTTACAAAGAAAGCTGTTCTTTTCTCTGCAGTAGTTCTTCAAAGAATGTAGAAACACAGGCCTGGGTGGGCCTCCAGTCCCCTGCTAGTGCTGGGAACATTTATTTTTTTTTTAAATAATCTTTGTAACCTGCATCTCAAAAGAGGGATGAGAAAACTTGGAGGTTTTCTACATCCGATACTTCCTCTTGTTAATGCTGCCACACGCTGCGCTCCATTACGCAGCTAATGCTGTACTAGTACCAAGAGAAGAAGAATGACTACAGAAGGGAAAAGGAAGCAAAGCTGAAAGTTTGGTGGAAATGAGTTTTCCTCCGTCACAAACCAACAGCTAAAGTTAACTGCTTATTTCACTGCGGGTGGGGGGGATAGAACAAACCCAAACCAACCTTATTGCTTATACGCACAACAGGAACATCTACCAGTATATTTGCCAGCTTAACAAAATACAAGCCAAAACTCTTCCTCTTTCCAGACTACCCTCAACCCAACTGAGATCACAAGGGAACTCCTCCCTTACCTTATATCATCTGACTTTTGGTAGAGGCCAGCAACCTCGTCCTAAGAGCAGGATCTGCTATGCTAAGCAATGTGCAAATGCAGAATATAAAGATGGGCCCTGTCTGCAGAATTCGCAGCCTAAATAACTTCTCCAATCTTCCACAGATAACTCTGAATTTCCTTCCTCATTTTCTAATTCCAAAGACCCTGCCCCAATGCCACACAGACAATTCTGCCAAAAACAAAATATCAGGAAAGTTAGCAAGAAGAAAATCTACCCTGACAACTAAGAGACTGCAGTGCAGCAGAATAGATCTCCTTGCATTAGAAGTGTTTTGATGGTATATGTCATACTTTTATGCCACGCTGTAAGGACAGAGATGGAGCCTTGCTTCCAGAACACTTCAAACATGTTGACGCCATACTGTTGACCTGACAATTCATTTCAAGCCAATCTAGTATCACACAAATCACAAGTCTTCAACTGTGTAACATTTTGGAAGTTATCTTCCACTACTTCTGTGACATTTTCACAACTGTCTGAGAGCACAAATCAGGTTTCTGAGTACAAAAATGAAGGAGACAAGACTTGAGAACTGTGTTACAGAGTCAGTAGACCCCACTACTCAGTGACAGAGCAACCCACTTCATTAGCAGAACTGATATATCCTGGTTGCTTACAGATTTCTGGTACATTGTTACTGGAAGAGCCACATTCTTCCTCCATGGCTCCCAAAAATAGTGTTTTGTCCTTTCTGTAGAGTATTCACAGTTTCATGCTATGGCCCCAGCTCCCATATTAATTACACTTCCTGGTATAATATCTCTGGATACTTTCCACCTCCCCAAGTTCACGCTGCAAAATATCTTTTCTAGTCCACATTCCTCTTCTAATTGAGGAAGAGAAGAAGGAAGAGCTGCAGACCAGGCCACACATGATATTGCTGATGTGACGTGATGATTAGCTTGCTGGCTGGTACTCTCAGCTGCCAGGCCAGCCAAAGAGGGAAAAAAGGCTGAACTTTTCATTCCTTTCCCTCTCACCTCTTCCAAGCATCAACTTTCACAAAAACCTTTTAAAACATAATGCTGAAATCACTGCCCTTCCATCAAAGCTGACTGATACTGCCCAATGAGTTAAAGAAATATCAGAGCAGTAGATTAACAGAAAGACACATACAACAATCATAAGCTTTGACTGCTCAGCAAACAAGGCTAACAAAGGTTACTGTCCCATATTATTAGCACCCAAAGAGCTTTGCAGAGAGGCATTCCTTCCAGGGGAAAAAAGAAAATAAATCAGTAACATATAACAAAATCACAGCCATTATCTTTTCCTTTTTTCAGACACTTTGATAATTTCTCTGGCAATGAAGTACAGGACAGGGGATGTTCTGCTGCTTACAAGAAAACAAATTTGCATGGTGTTTCCTGCATGTCTGCTTTTGAAGTGGAAGACTAACTGCTCTATTGCTTCTGAGGACTGGCTAGTATTGCAATTCAGAACGAGTATCCTCAATGTAATTAGTGAGTAACTAGGTCAGACTTTATAACTGAAAATGTGAGCTTAGACTAAGTGAAAGATCTCTTCCAGGCACTTAATAAGAACCTGAAAGCTGGCCCTTTGCCAAAGAACCAGTGTAAAATCAGGTTGCTATCTGATAGACTCAATAGCGTTACTACCACAAGCTTCTGATGACTGATACCCAGAAAGCTGGGCAGAATGAAAGACACTTTGCTTGCCTTCTAAGAATTTGCTTTCCCTTGTTTTAACTATGAGTTATAAATTCCCATTCCCCTCTTCAGTACTAGCAACTCAGTTACCATACTGAGCCTAAGTGTGCTGTACAGGTAACAAGAAGATCTATGAAATAATACTCCATGAACTAAATGCTTGTTGCTTTTAGAAGCTTTTTAGAAGCAATACTCTCTCAAAATGTGGTCAACTGGTTCAAAAGGAACAGAAAGCCCTAATCCTTATTTTGATTTGCAAAGTAATTCTATATCCTGGTCTTGACCAAGACTTCTCATCATCTCTGCAAAATGGTAAAAAGTATTTTATTGGGGGGTTGTGAAGTTTAGAGTTTGTAAAGAATAGGACAAGTAATTACACTAGGCTTCTGTAGAGGGCTTTTGATATGTAGTGTTTGCATTGTATACCCAGAAAAGGGGCTTTTGATAGTCTCTCTTAGATACGGCATAGGTAGTTAATAATCTGATTTTAGCAAACATGGTTCTGAAGAAGACAAAAGCAAATTTTTAAATATTTTATTAATCAAACAAATTAATAAAATGTAAAAAAAAAACCCAGCCAGTGTTATACTCTATAAATTGGCCTTAAAAGACATTCGAAACAATGGACTGACCAAATATTTCTTATTTACAATTCAGAAAAATATCTTCTGGTTTACAAATATTCTAAAGGTCTGGAAAGATCACTTATTCCCTGCCATCTGCATTTGAGAAACCCTTTCAAAGTCTGCATGAACTCAATCACAATAGGATGTAAGAGAAGAGGAGAGCAGGTTGCTGCGTAGGGAGGTAGGGGCAAAAAGCAATTCCCACACAGAAGCTGTTGTTCAGTATAAAGTACAGATATTCCAAAACATTTTTTAAGTACAGGTCATGATTTTTCTTTTTTATGATCTTAATACCATTTTGCACAGTATGTTTATACATTTGCAATCATGAAAGAACATTTTTTAAAGGAATGAATCTGGCTGTAACAAACAAGCATCTGTGAAGATGTCATTAGCATCTCTCCAGATCTGTAATCAAATTTGAGTCTCTCTTTCTTTGACCAGTATTTGACCAGTTTGGATTGCTCTGTGTAGACAGTATTCCATTTTGGTTACTAATGTTAACTATTATCAGTTATCTATCACAGGTGTCAGCATACAGCTTTCAGGGATTCTTCTGCTCTGTGTTAGCAGTTATCTGCAGTGTATGAAATAGAGATATAACTGATTCATTCATCCTTTTAACATCAGAAGTATCTACAGTAACCGTACTAGTTAAAGGTCTAAAAAATGAAACAGGAAAATCTATAACAGAAAGAGACAGATACTGTTGAGCTGCTGTTGACAGGATAGAGAACCTGTAGTACAGAGATGACCATAATTACTGATTTGGGTACAACGTGGCAAAATCAGCACACTTGCCTTTGCTGTGTGCTTTAGATTCTGTTGTGTATTTCAAACCATTACTTTGTGACTCCTTGACCTAGAATTTTTTCCCATATGCCTTTGTGGGTTTTTTTGCTCTGTTTTTTTAATAGGAAAAAAGCATGAAAATAGAGACTTTTTCCTTTCTGTAACAATGCCATGGAGTTACCTCCACTAAAGATTCAACATTACCTGGTAACCTTACTGTGACATTTCTATCTTCCTTCTCAGGCAATGTAACAAGAATTTCAGGCACCAGCACAGATTCTCATTAAATTTAGTAGTTTAGCTGAAAGCAATACCGAGGATAAGCTAGACTCAGTGTGCTAAAGGAGAAAAAAAAAAAGGGGGGGGGGGGGGGGGGCGCCTTAAAGGTATTCACAAATACTTCAGATTATTTCAATCTTCTGTTCTAGTTTTGAAAAGTCAGATGACATTTATACAAACTGGAAATGTCTCTGGGACTTCTGCTCTCATTCAGGAAAATGAAGATGAATATACTGCCTTCTCATAAGCATCCTGTTTTGTGCCCCATCTCACAGGGAGATCTCTTCCAAAACTTTGCTTGTGTAGTCACCATATATCACCCAGTCACATCATGTCCAGCTGCAAATAGAAGAAACAGATTTGGAAGAAGCAGCATTGAATTCAAGTTATTTCTTACATATGTTTAGCACTTAGAAAACAAAGCAAATTCGGAAATCCTTATCGTGTAACATAAATGGACTGCACAAAACTTAATACTAAGCTGCTATAAAGTACAAAAACAAACCTAAAAATCTCATCTTCACATAATCATATGTGCAATTACAGATTTAAAGAAGTACAGTCCAAAAGTAGAAATCCCACCTGCTATTGAAGCTTTTTTAAAACTGTCTACACTATCAGCTTAAGCCTTCGAGACAGATTTGTAATGACTCAGCCTGTAAAAAATGGCTAAAATATTTATTAAAAAACCTCTTGAAATCCTTGAATTTTAGCAAGCCTATATAGAGGAGGTTAACTGAGAAGATCAAAACATCTTTTTTAAAATGATTTGCAGTTTTCAACCCACACAAATAGCTGTTCTAGATCTACAAGCTTTGTTAAATGCGATTATAGTAAATTATAACAATCTGCTATCAAATGAGCAGCCTCACTGGCTCTTTTGAAACACGCTAGAGGACACGTTTAACCTATGTAAACACCCGTGTAACTACATAACATAGTATTTGCCATCATGAAATTACACACCTGGTTATGTTTTACAATAGCAAACAAGTAATTTCACATGGCTCTTTTCTGACTCAATTCCTTAGGTGTTTTCTAAGCCACGCACTCTAATCTACTACTTTAAGAAGCACTCGCTCTCTCTCACTACACCTTTCAGTTACAGTTTAATTCTAAAGCCACATCATGTCTTTATGGTACTCACCAAATCATCAACATCACCACCTTCATCTGTGGGAGGCAGAGTTTCATTTTTCTTTTCTTTCGAAGCCAAGAACTGAAAACACAGATGTATTTCTATGATACTGACAAAACTCAGACCCTTAATGCTAAATTAACAGAACGTCTCCTTTGTATATCAAAACAAATCCACCTGTAATTAAAAATTACGAATGAAGTTTGTTCTGGTTTCCACCCTCCAAAATCATCATAAAGTACAGGAAATTTCATAAGACTTGCTTTTAAAGGATTTTATGGTGAAGTGTGTTGAATAACAGACAAAAGGATATGGTTCTTCAGACAACATACGGTTAAGCTGTAGCACACCCTGTAATAAGGATGCTGCAAATATTAGTCCCCAGTCTCACGAGGAGTTGGGGAAAGTTCATAGAACAGAAATCCTTTGAAGTCTAAGTCCACAGAAACAACCTCAAGCACAGGAAGTACGTGAGACATCAGTGTCTGGAGCCTGGGACCATACACTTTTCCCTACCCATCTGTTATTGTCCACTGTCAAACACGGGATTCTGGGCTAGATGGAAATTTTGTCCATTACAGTATGGCCATGTTTATGTTCTTAAAAAAGATGACTTTAAAAGTAATATCGTGTGTAGCTACAAAATGCTAAAGGACAGCAAACCCCCCCCCCCCCCGATATGAATACATACGTAAGCTGACCAATGGCTTCTTTAGCAAATTTTGTAAGTACGACATTCTAGTTCTGTGTGGAACTTAGAAGTTTCCCGTTTAATTCAATTAACATTTAACAAGTGAACAAAGACATGAATTTTAAAAAACCCCTCAAACACACAAGATGGTTAGAATGCCAGTCTTTAAAAATAGACAATTTATTATGTAAAATTCTATTGCCGTAGCTGCTGATACAACTCACCATATCCCCTTCACTTAAAGCATGGCATCCATAAATAGAAGATAAAGGTAAGTTGCTCAGATACTATAACAACTGAAATCAAACATACAGACAATATCTGGAGTACAACCACCTCTGAATTATTTTTCTCTTAGCCTAACATAGTGAAACAAATAATAATTTAGCTAGAATGGCAGAAAAAAAATACAAATACTTGACTTTTACTAAAAAATATCCAGTCGTCTACAAGTTTTAGTTACGGTCTCTTTACCAATATAAATATACTTTACTATAAAATCATAAATTTTCTTTTTCTTATTGAAATGCACCAGAACAAGTATACAGAGCCAGGAACAACCCTGCCCCAGATAAAAAGATGTCTGTGAAAGCTGGGGAGGAAGAAAAGCCACATTCCATGACCTTGAGTTCCATCATCCTTAATTCATAAAAAACTTCACTATGACTCTAGATGATGAAAGAGAACAGCTAGTTAGAAAATAGCCACAATAAACAGGCTATAAATACCTGTTTAGAGTTAGGTAACTCTTGTGCAAACAGCTGCCTCCTGAAAGCAAGCTACTGTTTACCTGAGGACTTCAACCATAACAGCCATGGAGGTTGTGTAAAAGGTCATGAGATCCCTATCAGAGCACTACCAGTCTCTGAGACAATATACTTTGTGCTGGTTTTGGCTGGAATAGAGTTAATTTTCTTCATAGTAGCTAGTATGGGGCTATGTTTTGGATTTGTGCTGGAAACAGTGTTGATAACACAGGGATGTTTTCCTAACTGCTGAGCAGTGCTGACACAGAGTCAAGGCCTTTCTGCTTCTCACCCCACCCCACCAGCGAGTAGGCTGGGGGGGGCACAAGAAGCTGGGAGGGGACACAGCCAGGACAGCTGACCCCAACTGACCAAAGGGATATTCCACACCATATGACGTCACGCTCAGCATATAAAGCTGGGGGAAGAAGAAAGAAGGGGGGGATGTTCGGAGTGATGGCATTTGTCTTCCCAAGTGACTGTTAAGTGTGATGGAGCCCTGCTTTCCTGGAGATGGCTGAACACCTGCCTGCCGATGGGAAGTAGTGAATGAATTCCTTGTTTTGCTCTGCTTGCATGCGCGGCTTTTGCTTTACCTATTAAACTGTCTCTATCCCAACCCACAAGTTTTCTCACTTTTACCCTTCTGATTCTCTCCCCCATCCCACCAGGGGGGAGTGAGCGAGCGGCTGCGTGGTGCTTAGTTGCCATCTAGGGTTAAACCACCACATACTTGTACTGTAAAAAGCTTAAATATTATTTTACATAAATAAAATGTTCTGATCCTTCTCTAGAGCAATAGTGACAGCTTTAGACAAAGGGTAAAACACTGAGAAGCTACCTGCTGCATCCCATTTGTGGGAAAGTATCAGGTATCATATCCACTAGGATGAAAAGCAAATACATTGGTTTTGGTTAACACCGAAGACAGAGGATGTAGACAGCCTTTGCCTAGTTGTCTCAATACCCAAAGGTCAGACCTTTCCTACATCCTAAACAGCAACATCCAAGAGGAATGCAGAAAGCTTATTCCACCGGCAACACTCATGTTTTAACATGCCGACTTCAACTTCTCATGTAGATTTTGTAGCTGCAAAAAAAATTAGAAGGTGACAGGGCCAGAAGGAATTAGAATTTCAAGATGCCGTATATTTGTGTATCTTTTTTGCTGGAAAAGTTTTCAATCTAGTAGTAATATAAAGCACATACTATGAAACTAAAAGCTAATGACATTGTCAGCTCTGAAAGGCTTTTTGTGCCAGATCAAATTTCAGTTTACACAGTTAATTAAAAGTAAATGGTATTTCTGAAAGTAGCACATTTTTCAAAGTTTTCAAAATTAGCTTTCCCACACTTGCTTAGGTAAAGCTAAAAGCTAAAGAAATGTATGATGAAGATTTACAATATATTGAAACCTGAAGTTTCCATCAAATGCTGAACATCCAAAACTGTTTTTTTTTCCCAAAACCTGTTTTACATTTATGCAAAAGCAAATTACATATAATAGTTGTGCTGAAATCCATTATCTTCCCCAAAGCAACCAAAAAAAGCACTTGACATTTCTGCTCTTTTAACCTATCATCCTCATGCTCTAAAAAGAGTATCTTCACTATTACAGAAAAAAACTCCAACCTACCTATAATAATTTTTCTCAGTAATAGGAAAATATGCATGGATAACCTAGCTCAACCAAAAAGAAAAAGAAAATTTTTACGTGTTACCTCTCTAATAAGCAGCCTTGTAAGTCTTCCTTTCTCCTTTAAATAGCAAGCCTATATACCTGAAGTCTTATATCCAAAACAGTCCTGAAACTGCTATCAGCTAGCGATCTGCACATAAAAGAAAAGGCTTTTGTGTCACATAGGACCACACTGACAGCCAATCCCTTGACCTACACACTTGCATGTGACCTATTACAGAGGTGAAGAAAACTTGCATCTTACTCTATTGTGTGATATTTTAAATGATCCAATATAACCCTTTAGTGAAGGGTATCACCTTCAGTATAGAAAACAAATGAACCATTTTTGCAATCTACTGTAGACCTAGGAAAATGCTGGCTTTGTATCACACAGGAAACCTGTGGCAGTGTTTAACTGGACCAAGAAGGACTGGATTTTAGATCAGTCCCATAACCTCAAGATAAAATTTTCTATCCCTGCAGATCTTACTCCAAGAAGATGCAGTCTTCCAGTTTCTTAAGTAAAAAGTCATATAAACCCTCAATGACAAATCAGGGTTCTGGTTTTGGATCTGGAGAGTGTGTGGGGAGGTGGTTATCTAGTGAATAACTGGGATTGCCAACTGCCTAGTTAGCAAAGAGATGCAATCCATTTATTCTTAAAGTCAAGGTAACTGCCATGTTAGAGAAGTCTGTTGCAGAGCTGATTTCATGTCATCTCTCTTATTCCCCTGTTTTAAAGGGAAGTTATGGCTGTTGTAGGACCTTCAATCAATCACAAAATAACTTCCTGCATTGCAACACCTAGTTAACTGTAGCACGACGTTAAACAAAAAAGTAATTTTGAAGTCAGTCTACAAATGCTTTGCTCCAGCTTAGCCTGGCAGCTGTAAACATAGTCCTTGGTAGTCTATAATTTGTGCTGCATTCCTATGCAGGCACAGTATTTTTTAGCCACCACAAGCTCACAGTTAAGACAACAGTATGCTGTAAGGTCTTCATGGCTAGTAGAGATTTCCTTAAGTAATAGTGGCTATTTCACACAGCATTAGCACATTTTGAGCGTCAACAGTAGTTTCAGACTAGAAAGGGAGGTTCTCAAGAAACACTGTCTTAGGAAATTTCCAATTAAATTCATAGCATTTGGAATACGTAGCAAAACCTGATACTCCTTAAAACCACCACTGGGGAAAAAAGTTGCTCTATACAGTTATGTGTGATGAGAAACAGCCAGTAGGTCCTTCATGTCTAGAAAAAAACATCATGTTCTGTCGTTTTTACTCTGCACATGTACTTAGCTTTCTGGACCTTAGTTTGTTAGCTTTTCATTTTTATGAGATCTCTGTGCCTTCTTCACCTTGAGGTAAATTGTTACAGATGAAAAAAGCAGTTTCTAAAATACAACCTTTTACCCACTCATTAATTCACTCATGGAGAACCTACTTCTACCTCCTTCTGGTTACTGCTAATGTAAGGCCTGGAAGTTGCGAAAATCAATGTGGCATCTTTTAGAAAAGCTGCTTCTCTACAAAGTAGTTAGTCATTTTAGTCACAGGTTTACCTTCAGGGGTCCATAACACAAGGACCTTCTTTCCCCTAAACTATGTAAAATCATGGCTAGCAGCCTGATGCAAGAATGCCTGTCTTATCCTCTCCACACAAATACAATTTTTGACAGCAACTCTGAATTCTGCTTTCTTTCAAACAGAAGGCACTGTTCTGCCTGTTAGAATTCGCTCCTTTGTAACTGTGTGCCATGGTTTGACCCCAGCCGGCAACTAAGCACCACGCAGCCACTCATTCACTACCCCCACAATGGGATGGGGGAGAGAATCGGAAGGGTAAAAGTGAGAAAACTCGTGGGTTGAGATAAAGACAGTTTAATCAGTGAAGCAAAAGCCGTGCACGCAAGCAAAGCAAAACAAGGAATTCATTCACTACTTCCCATGGGCAGGCAGGTGTTCAGCCATCTCCAGGAAAGCAGGGCTCCATCGTGCTTAACGGTCACTTGGGAAGACAAACGCCATCACTCCGAACATCCCCCTCTTCCTTCTTCTTCCCCAGCTTTATATGCTGAGCATGACGTCATATGGTGTGGAATATCCCGTTGGCCAGTTGGGGTCAGCTGTCCCAGCTGTGTCCTCTCCCAACTTCTTGTGCACCCCCAGCCTACTCGCTGGTGGGGTGGGGTGAGAAGCAGAAAAGGCCTTGACTCTGTGTCAGCACTGCTCAGCAGTATGGAAAAGATCCCTGTACTGTTTCCAGCACAAATCCAAAACATAGCCCCATACTAGCTACTATGAAGAAAATTAACTCTATTCCAGCCAAAACCAGCACACTGTGACATCCTTCATTCACCACTGCAGTTACTGAAGTGTTATATTTCTGTAGAAAGAATACCTGCAAATACTCCAAAACTTTTGTTTCCAAAAGGATCTAATATGATCACCAGCATCATCTATGATGTCCATCAATCCACAAGAGCTGCATAAAGTGGAAAATACCGATATCGTTGCATATATGGTGAAAACTAGCCATAACAACTTTATATAACTAGGGTTCACAATGCCTTTAGACAAAAAAGTATCCTGATTTTTGTACTCGTGTGATAACAGTGAGATCACAATTCTTTCTCTGAAGTTCAAATAGTGATCTTGCATACATAAATAGTCTATTGCTATTCCACTAAACTGAGTTCCTGAAGTTCCTATTCTTTGTAGAGCATATTTTCAGATAACGATGTCAATACATGCTACTTTCTAAAGACCGGTTAAAGCAAATGTTGTGGTACATGCTAGCCAATTATTTTTGCTCTGAATTGGGGCAATTTCAATTGTGTGGCAAAAGGACACTCTTCTTCCTTCATATGAATTCTATTTAATTCATCTAAAGATTTATCCACGTAAGGAAGAATCTTCTGTTCCACAGCACGGGCTCTATACAAATAGATGCTCATTAAAAAAACGATACCTTTTCAGCCTCTTCACTAGTCACCAAACTTCCCTCTGCTTCATCTTTAGTGATCAAAGAAATTCTGTCTAAAAAAAATAAGAGATATAAAAATATCATTAGAAGGCTTCCCAAAAACGCACTTAATGTTAGAAATGAAAAAAGTCTTCCAACTTCTGAATGTGTCATCATCACCAGCAAAAATAAAAAAATATTGCTCAAAGGAAAATGTGACTTGCATAAATGAGTCAACTACGATATAAAAATAAATTAATGAGCATATTCATAAGCTTGTGGAAGTATCCATTTAGGAAACCGCTAATATTATGACAATCAAACTAATGAGACACTGAAATCATAGATCACAGATGAAATGCTGAAAATCTATCAGAAATTACGCTTTTAGTCATTCACAGCATGCTCTTCTGTCTTTTCTTAACAGCCTTATAAAAATTAACTCCTAACACACAAGCACTTACGCTGTGATTACCTACAGTCTGACTACCAAAGTGCTGGTCCTGCCCCCACTTTGCTCCTTTGTTGTGCCAGCACCACCTTCCTTTGCAGTGACCCCCAGAAAAAATTTAAAATCTCAATTACTTTGTACCCCAATAGTTTTTCCAGTCTAGCTCATCACTTGGCTACACAAATGCTTATGCCTGAATAAAGAAGCTGTGGGTATGAGAGCAAAGAACCGTAGATTCATACAGGTTTCAGCAACAGCACAAGTGTAATGCCACCTTAATGTGCCCATAGAACTATGTGGCAGGGTTTCATGAGACAAGTGAACTTGTGAAAAAGATCTGCATTGCTCCTGAGCCACTAACTCATTAACTCACACCCATCCTCTTTTGGTGATTGCAGTCGCTCATGAAAAGGCCCAATGCATGCCACATTTGTTAGAAAAGAGTGGATGGGTCATGTGGCAAGAAGCAGGGAAAACAGGATTTCTGCTTTGTTAGATGCAAGCGAAAAGCAATTTCAGCTACCTAGTGAGAGCAGCTAGATTATGCATAAAGCACCATGATTATTTTATCTTCTCACAAGAAGATAATCTATGTTGTAGTAAAATATCATCTCTGTATTTGTAATTTTTTTTTCTCAAAAATATACTCCAGTTTTGTTAAAAAATCTGATTTGTACCAGCTAAAAATTATTAAAACAGTATTCTGGCATGGCTTCGGAAGATCCAAGTTTCCTACTTTCAAAATTTGATTTGTTTTTGGTTTTGTTTTTCAAATTTCTTCAGAGAAGGTCCCTTACAATACTACTGAATATAATATTCTTTCAGTGTTGTCTTGTGCTGTTGTTTTGGGTTGCTAAACAACTTGCCAACTTGTATTTTGAAAAAGTTGGACAAAGTAGACGTTACAGAGTGTCTGGAGTTTGCCACTTTGAAAGGTGCTATACAAAAGCGTATCATTGCATTTATAGCATGTACCCTTAAGAGATACAGCTGGGCATTTAACAGATTTTCTTAGCACTGGTTCCAATTAAAAACAAGAGTATGACGTAAATGATTTTTTTTAGTCCACCATGTTTTGTATTTGTGAAAATGTTCCTTTATTTATCACTTGCGTAGTCTCTGAATGTCTTTTGGAATTGCACTGCCTTGTATCTCCCAGTTTAATCATAGGTAGGTGTCATACTACCACATATTCTGTCCTTCAGGTTGCTTAAACACAAAATGATCAGTGACATATTTCAATGCTATCTATGCCTTTTTTGAAGCTTAATTTGGAAGAATCTTTTTATATCTCTGCTGCATGAGTTTTTTCCACTTACTTTGAAATTCAGCTGAAATCATATCTTCTTCTCCTTGCCCTGTAACATTTAATTTGTGTCTCCTCTTCCACAATTAATTTACCATTTCAACAAGACTTGGCAAGGCATTATGGATACTGCTGATATGAAACTATTAGTGCAAAAAAGGAAGTTGCTACGTGAAATATTTTTTTTATTTTTTTAAACAGGCTGCACAAATGAACCATATCAAAACGCTGCTCTGGGGTTAGTTTAAGTGTCCCATTGCTAACAAAGTTTTCTCTTGCATAATGGATAATACAACAAACTTTTTTTTTTTTTTAATGCCATCCTACCTTGTATCATGATCTCCCAGAAATCAGCTAAGGCTTTATCTTCCACCTTTGATTTCAGGGCCTGCAGAAAATCATTAAAGCACTGCACCTTGGACAGCTGAGAAAATAACAGCAATGACAACAGAGAAATATTAAAGTAGCCTACTAAAGAGCACTGCAAACTTAATTCTTCATGAAGTCACCTAACATTGTGAACACAAAAGTGACGTACAGATTTTGGTTTTTACCTCTACTAAAACCAAGAGTTCTAAGGAATGGTGAGCCACAAAAACTGCCTTTCAGAAAGCTAGAAAGACTTTCTTGTATCTAGCTTTATTTAAGAAGAAATTTGTAGGATTGCTTATTTTTCTTTTACAAGCATCAGGTCACAGGCCTCGTGTTTTTATGTTTAAAAGAAAACAAACAACAGCAAATAATACCAGAGAAGCTAGTCCCCATTCCAGTAAGAATAAAGAAACATAAAATGCAAATATATTTCTAAACTTTCAAACAGGATAACAGATTTTAATCTATGAATCAATTCTTTTTGCTGTAGCAAGAAATTATCAAGTCTCTAATACAGGAAACAGGCCCATCACGTCTTTAATTGGAAAGAGATGAGTTTTCACATATTAACATTACCTTAATGGCCTCCTCTCTGAAAACACTGATACAACTGATCCCTTTCATGTAGTACTGTGAATCTTTATTTTCCAGGAACTGATCAATGCGGTTTATCAACTGCTGACTCACTGAAAGACAAGGAGAAATAAATGAAAGAATGCACACTTTCAAGGCAAAAAAAATATTTTTCCTTTACATCTCTCTTTTTCTATTCCACAGGCATCAAAAGAGTTAGTCATACCCATACCACCTCAAGCTACTTGCGTTGATAATTATTATCTAAGCTACTGACAATTACTTCAGCCTCTCTGGAAAAGCTAGATATACTAGGAAGAAACCCAAGCATGGCCAAGGCAAAAGTCCTTCCCTGAAAGCCAAGAAAAAAAGCACTGGCCTAGCTTGTTTGATAGAAAGTAAAACCAGAACATTCGGGATCCTAAAGCTGAGGGAGTTTATGTTCTACAGCGCAAAGCATATCCCCTAAACATCCTTTGAAATACACACATATTTCAATGAAAGCATTAAATTTACAATGAAGGTGTAACAATGTCAAAACAACAGCTGTAGGGTGATTGGAGTTAAAAGACTACCTTGTTGTTATTGACGTTAGAGTATATCTTGTCTCTGTACAGGTAGTTTGATGATTTTTCATCGGGGCAATGCTATTTGTGATTATGGAGATAAGTATTATAAATTGTGCATGCCTGACAGAGAGAAGCAGAGGCAAACAATGAGACTTGCACCAACAAGAAGGGGAACACCAGTTTCATCCTTGCTGTTGAGCTCCTAAAAGGTAGGTAGCTGTAAAACACTGCAAACGTGACAAGTGAAAATGTCATCAAGAGCTCTGAAAGCCCAACTAAATTCTGCTGGATTTTAGTACTTTATTTTCTTCATGTTTAATTATACAACAAACACTGTCCAATTTTACCCTCTGGTAGACACCTCATCCTGGGAAAAGACAGGTGTGAAGAGCATACAACAGTGATCTATAAACTCAGAAGCACTGTGAACAGGATGAATAGGGAGCGATAGTCCACTGCCTCTCTCAGAACAAGAGCAAAGAGTTGGGTTAAGAAAAAATGAAAAAAAAGTACCTCTTCAAACAAAACCAGTTAACCTCTTTACCACAGGATGCTGTGGGATGCTAGAAGTTTTAACAGCTTAAAAAAAAATGCTTGAACAAATTTTAGCATTCTTAAGAGACTAACTCTATCAAGAGAGATTAAAGATGATGTTGCCATTGAAGAAGAAAATGCAGAAAAGCATTCTGGACAAGTCACAGGATCTGCCTGTCCTGTTCTTGTACTGTTAAAGTCAGGTTACTGGATTACCTTTAGCCTGACCTATAGCCCTTTTTCTATTCAGATGTTACGGGCATATATGTCACTGCAACTATTTCAGCCATGGAAACATCAACATAGAAAATCATCTGTCAGAGTGATGGAAGAGACAAGGATAAGTAAACACACCGAGCAGCAGACATCGTTTAAATACTATATTCCATTCTCCTCACTATAAGCATACACAGTGCTAGCTGTTGTATTCATGTTCTATAAAATGCCTAATTGAACTGAATCTGAAGGATAGCATCTCTGAAAAGAGTGAAACAAGACACGTTTGATATTCTCCCACTAGCTTTTGACTCTACAGAGTTTCTAGAAAAGGAGGTGGATAATGGTTCTGTCCAACAGCAGCTATCACACAAGAAAGTGCGCTAAAGTGCCTACTGCTCCAGAGGTGATCAGCTCACTCTTTTTATTTATTTTACCAGTAGCTGACAAACTAAATTGAAGAAGTCTCACTACTTAAGCTCCCCAAGTTAAGTCAGTCCATTTTTTTCATGGTTAACGATTTTCTCATTAAATGTTCTAATTTCTTACGAATTGCACTAATAAAAGCAAGTCCTGCTGGTGTTTTCAGTGGTGGTGGTGGTTTTTTTTAAATGCTGCCTTTTCACTGATGTGTTAAATTAAAACCCCAGGCACTATGAGGGTGCAATGAAAGTCTTTATTGTCAGAATGATTCCAGCATACTGTTTGAAATGATCAGACACTCTACTTCTTCTTTTGCATTTAATTTTTTTAAAATCCTTTTCTATTTGATTGCACTGGCAGGCATCAGAAGACTTTTTCTTGCTACTGACTGTGAGCTGCCTCCTTTTGAAATCTGTTGTAAGGAACCAAAAGAACCTTACAATGTTTTACTAGGCACTGAAAGACCATAATATATGCAGGAAACAGGTTACATGGCAACAATATTTTAAGTCAGATTCTTCTAACATCTTGAAACAGCTTGGCTAAAATTGGGTCTGCCATTGGGTCTCCCTTAAATGACAGGCCAATGATTGATGAATCTAAAATACATAAAATTCCTGTGTTCTGATTAGACTAACAAATTACTTCAGGGGGCCAAAGACAATACCAGAGATGGTAGGTAATGATTATAACTGGAAGTTCTCCTAAGTGGACTCTGTTCCTTTACACTTCTAGGTCTGAGAACTTTGTTGATTTCCTGCTGCCTGTCATCTGCCTTTGCATTAGTGTGTATCTTTGGGTTTGGGTGATGCAAAAAATAAATCTCCCTGTTTTTGGAGAAAGGCATGTTCTGCATAAAGATGTCTATCTAACTAAGCTGTGAATATTAGCATTAACTCTGATGTGTCCCAGACAAATCTCAGGCATTGGGGTTTTGAAGACCAGGTCCTAGAGTTACGAACTGACAGCCTATTCAGGCCACTACTGTGTAATAACAACTTTTTTTTCTTCTCTCCCAACTTCCCTCACCCCACACACACATTTAAGGAAGTGAACTAATGAAATTCTGTATTTTGCATAAACTGGAATTCCAGCACTCCTAATAACCACCATGTTCTGCAGATCATCCCAAGAAATTTTAATCTTCTGCTTCCCTCTTCTACTGTACCTGATTGGTTAGATAACAAACATAGTGATTAAAGGCCAGAGAACTACAGGTAAAAAAAAAAATAATCTTTGATTAGGAGATCCTTTAGTTCTAACAGAATTTAATCCCTTCCCCACTGGCATTCAGATACATTCCCTACTCTAAAATATGTTCACCATTTTCTTGTGAAATATGCCACGAACAATTATATTCACTTGTTATCCCTGAACAGTTACAGTACAAAAGTGTAGTTATATTTTCATGTTCGTTCAGTTCAGTCCTTGGTCTTGATTATTATGCCAACCAGATTACAGCATAATAATAGATAAGGCTATATTATAGTCCAAGTTCCAATTCCTTAGAGATTTCCCCCCCAAAAAAATTAATCAGGTTAAAAAAAAATAGCTCTTTCTGTAGACAAAAGACTCCTCTTGTTACCAATCTTTTGATTTATCCACTGGTGGTGGTAATGATTTGTGTTAATGGACAGTGCTTAAAGTAAGTCACTGACAAGTCAGTTAAACCACCTGATAATAAATTTTAAACTACTGCTCAGTTAAGTATCATCTTTTTGTAACTGAAAAGAAGAAAAAGATTATAAACAGAAAACCATCCTAATTTTTTAAGGACTTCCTCCATCTTTAAGCCAAGAAATAAGAATTTTAAGATCAAGAGCTGTTGAACTACTCCAGTGTCCTATGACACGCTGTTCAATTTTGAAATGGTCTCTCTAAATGGCCTGTGGGTATAGATCAGAATGATTTAGGCTGGATGTCTGAAGGACATCCGGTCCAAATCCCCGCTCAAACCAGGGTCACTGTGGATCAGGTGGCTCAATGTTCCCCTGACGAGTTCCAAGTAGCTCCAAAGATGGAGAGTCTTCAAGTTCTCTGGGCCCTTCTTTCCGTGTTTGACTACCATCATTGTGATTTATTCACACACCCCCCATAACATCTAATCCAAATTCTGTTTGTTGCAGCTCAGAGCTTTGCATCTCACCCAATTGTTATGCCCTTCAAAGACGAATCTAGCTTCATCTTCTCTAAAGCAGACATACAGGAAACTTCAAAGTGGTTTTACATACTCAAGTATTTGGTTTGCAAATACTCTTCCAATGACTGAATCATTTTCATCAAACCAGTCATTGCATTTGGCCTACCTAGCAGAAGAGCATGAATAGTCCCCGAAATACACAAAAACATCCAGTAAAATGAAAATGCAGACAAACTGCAAAGACATGCCAACAAAAAGAGAAAGTAAATACTAGGGTTTTTTTTAAAATTATCTTGGGTCTAGAAAGGTAGTTAGCTATACACATTTCTACAGAAAATCTTGCAATAAAATATCATTCTTGCAACTGCCTAATAAATTCCCATTGCAAATCTCTTATACACCAATCTTGTATGGATACAAAGCATCCAGTGCAAAACCAGTGTTTTACATTTTACTTAAGAAGCTATCTACATGCCATGGCAAGAGTGTGACACCTCAGGCCCGACAGAATATTTGCTGAAATCTACACATGCAGTTACGGAGTCTTTGAACTTTATTTTTATAGAAATGCCTAGGAATGAAAATATTAACAAATTTGCTATAAACATAAGAGTGAGCATTTGATACAATTTGTCTCTGGACATTTTTATGTCCATAAACGATACAGTTGTCATTGCAGATTTCTCTCTTCACTGACAATCAGTAAAATAAACAAAGCTCTTTCAACTACAGGACTTCGGACATCAAGTTCTCAGATAGAAGTCCTATAAGATGCAATGAAATCTGGCCTATAAACTTGCACAGAAAACTTACAAATCAAAGAAAATACTATACGTGTGTCAGTATCTTTTTTACCCCCCATTAAGGCATCCTGTCTTCTACAGAAGCATATGAAAATACAACACCCCATATCAGACACCTTCTGCTCTCCAGAAATGCAGACATGGATGAGAAACCTGTAAATAGTCAAACAGGATGAACTGGTAGTCCATGTGGCTACTCCTTTGGCATTACAAAGATGGCAAGTACTCACAGCATTTGAGAATCTTCTTTGCAGCCACAGCAATGAAGAAATTCATTGTACACCCTTGGGAGTAATGATTAGATTCCACTCAGGCAAACTAATTTATTTTATTTGCATTCATTGACAAAAATGTCAGAAGCTGTTATCAGAAGACTGCTCTTTGTGATGACTGTGCACTTGTAACCTGCCCAAAATAAGACCTGCATAAAATGACATCTCTCTGGCCATGAATGCAAGCAAGAAAGTAAAGATATCTGGAGGGGAAACACAATGCTAGTTACATGAGCAATCAAAATTAACCAGTAAGTTGACACCCTCACACACAACTCATCACGTAAGCCATAAGTGGGTCCCTACTGTAATAAACTACACAGATGTCAATTAAAAACAAAGTTGATTGCTGTTTCAGGAATTGAGCTGCCAGTCTCAGAAAGCCTATCCCTAAGGCCCTTTGAAACTCTAAGATTTGCGGGGGGGGGGGGGGGGGGGGGAGGTGAGTATTCACACATTAGTGACCCAGTTCTCACTAACAGCGAATGCAGCGTTTCTCCTCCTCTGGTCTGCTGTGGGACCCAGCATTCAGACATGGGTTGTCTAACTTGCACATAGGCTTCTGCTATGAATGGCACAAACCCTGATCATCAAATCCCAGTGAGGCCACTGCAGGAGATGCATTGGTACTCATTTTTTATGATAAATATACTGTCAGGACTTCCTACAAGCTGTTTAAAAAAATAATTTAAAAAAATTCCCTTGCCATACTTTGGTCTTGGTAACTTTATAATTTTGGTGAGAGACTTGCTGTGGACTAAAGAGGATGTGGGCCGTTAACCTGCAGCTCAATTAAAAAGCCACTGTACTGTCAGTATTTAAAGTACAACTCTTCCTATTGCTAAAACTTCTCTATCTACCAAAAAAATCCACCCCCAAGCAAACAGGTGAAAGCCCTTTCTCCTCCCTACAGAGGGACTTTGTTGCTATTTTGTGGGGAGGGGAGGAAGAAGGAATTGTTGCCTTTTTTAAACAGAGAATGTAGGCTCTATTCAGTTTGGAAGACTACACTCTTTTTATACAAGAAAGAAGCAAAACGGGATGCAACCTAATAGTTGTCCTGTCTGCATCCCGACACATATAATGTAATTAGGGTTTTTTTTCCTCCAGTAAACTATTTGAATGCCACAGATTATCCATTCCTGCAAAGACACTTTACATTTCACATGTTCTAGCAGAGGAAAAAAGTTTCATCACTAAATAGGATACAAAATTATACTAAAAAAACCCCTTAGAACCACTGAATAGTTTTAAGGCAGAATTTACCATTTACATAACCAGAATGCAATACAGCAAGCCATTAAAAACATGCCTGTAATGTTTTATGTATTAAGCTACCTAAAAGACTCTAAAGCAGAAAAAAGATTATGCAGAAGAAAAAAAATAATATGCAGAGCATTTTTTTATTTATAGTGGCTTCTGACTGCATTACATTCTGTCTAACTACACCTTATAATTACAGAGCAGATCACATGTAAAATAGAAGCAGATTGCTCAAAATTTCGGAAGCCATCCAAACGTGTACCACAGTTATCTCCAGCACAGCTACCAAGTGAACATATTTAAGCACTCTTTAGTTAAACTGTCTTCAAGGGCAATCACTATACTTATTTCTGCCTTAAAGCTTTCCTACATGATAAAATTAATTACTGTAACAAAGCAGTCAACTGTTTCACAGTTTCTGTATTCTAATATATCGTACAATGCTTTTTTACTGCATCTTAATATATCTGAGATTTGAGAACACAATTCCAAATATTTTTTCAATAAACAATTTCTTCTGGATCGAATGGAAAATCCATGTAAAAAGCTGGCCAGCTGTCTTATAGGTCTGGAAATTCTGGAGAGAAATAGCTATATAGGCTTTAACAGACTGTATCACAAATCAATGTACTACTCAACACCCTCCTCAAACTATGTCCAAAAGGACCAAAGGCCTTGTTGAAATACCCAGCACCTCACTTCAGCACCTCTGCAAGTCTTTTTCTTTGAAAAGAACTGCTACATTAGTGGCTATTTGGCAGATGAGGTTATCTTGCCACAACCTTCAAATCACCCTTTAAAAGAAAAAAGGACCCCATCGATCTTGTGCATTCTTTTTATGATACCTTTGGATTACAGGTATCTCTGTATAGCTATTCCAGTAGGGAAATACCATACAAACAAATCATAATTCCTTTGCATTTTCAGACTTAGGGCATGCAAGACATTGTCTGACCTGTGCTTTGTATTCTTCCTCGCCTCTACATCAAAACCCTGTCTTGCTGTACGCTGAAAACAGATTTGGTGCACACAGATCTTGCTTTCATCTTTAAGAGTCACATACTACCTGCTTATTACACCCTAAATTCACCCATGCTTTCTTTTGCTCACAACAAGCAGTAAGAAACGATCTTTGCATGTAAAGATTTAAATCCCAGGCATCAGATTCTTATTTCTTCATAGAACCAAGTAAGTAGACAGTAGAAGACAGGTTTCTCACACCGCACGCAGCCAGCATCCCTCCACTTCAAGACAGAAAGATCCCATGAAGCCAGATAAGAAGCTGAGACCCACTTTGAATGAGGCAGTCAGTCAGTACCACGGGATCTTCAGCCAGGAACACCTGAAGAGTTGCTCAGATGCCTCAATGTAGCTGCCTAGTGCCATCTTACACAAACACAGGTATCTGAGACTTTCAAATGGGGACGGCAAATATTGACATGGGAATTATGAGTGACACCTTTCTTTGCTGAGTGGCACTAGAGCCACTCACTCCAGAGCATCTCACATAGCACTAGAAACTTATGTTTAGACAAATGGATTGCATTTACTGAACCCTGAAGATGCTACTAAATATAATTAAGATAGATAAAAGTCATTTACCGTCTTTGAAGTCAGCATTTTTCTGCCTCACTAGAATTCTGAAATCTTCTGCTGGGTTAACACTGCCAACCTACAAAAGGTCCAAAAATGATACAATCATCTGCCAATATCCATCTCTATTCTTGCAATGCAACAAGAATCTTTAAATTTCTGTTTATTTTAATATGGAAACAGAAGCTCTACAATTCTCTGCATGCGGACTCATAAAATGAAAGTCTTACAATGCGTTTTAATGCACAGTACTCCTAGCAAAGGTTAGTTATGACATGAGCAAGATGAACTTAGACTTACTGTGCTGCACTCTTATAAGCCAACCATATTCTCTGGGGTTTAGAGGTCAGAAGCACAGTAATTCAGGCTATCTGCTAGTTCAGCTTTGAGACTTTCTGTAGCACAGACGTCTCACTAATCTTGACAGACACTTAATGAGGAATGGGAGCTCCCAGGCATGTGGGTACAGAATCATTGGTTTGTCACTCCAATAGGAAGCTCAAAATTAAAAGTTTGCACTCAATTCATCTACCCTTTCTGGCCCAGTCTGACATCTTAAAGCTGAAGCTCTAAATGGGCATACAAGCACGGAAACCTTACAAAGGAACTAAAACCAGGTCAAATATTAACAAACATCTACTGAAAAACAGATGCAATAACTTTAGGGAAAAAAAAAATTACATTGCTTAACATGTCCTTTCAGGAATCAAAATTCTCTTAAGTTTATTTGAAAATTTTATGCTTTGCTGTCAAAATAATTGTTCGATCTTTCAATAAGCTTGCTTGGTCTCTTCCTGTTTCTTTCAAATCTGGCAATGCCACTTTCCAAGAAAAATCAGAAGTGTATATCAGAAGCACAAAATATTTAAATCTTTTTAGATTATAAATCTTTTTAAAAATCTCAGTCATGCATTTTAAAAACCAGCCTTAAAGGATACTTTGAAAACAAGTGAAATTAACCTCAATTAACATTAAATCACCTTTTTTCCTGTAATTCAAAAAAATAAAGGAAGGTGCACAGTTATGATACAGGCTTCATCTACCCATGTACACAATATCTGGAATTAAGTTAGACATTTAACCTATGAGGAAGATGAAGTCAAATTTGCGATTTAGAACCCCGATGCAGTGAACAGTCTCTAAAATCACAGCAATACCTTTGATTAAATATACAGAGGCAAATTCCATGTTGCAGATGATATGAAAGAGAGCAAGAACAAAATTCAGCCACTGGACCCCAAATCTGAGATTGTTGTCCTCCGATCCTCAGGCTTGCCCTTTAGAGTTCTAGACACCAGAGGAGAATTTTGCCCTAAAATACCCAAGACTGACGGAAACTTGTGCTAACATACACCTAAGGGCAGAGGAAGTTGTCTTTACAATCTCTAGCAGAGAGTCTCAAATCTACAAGTAGACAATACTTCAGTCATGTTTCAGCTAGAAACCATCCTTTTATCAGGAATTCTGTATATTCATTGTAATACACTTAGAGAAATTAATCTTCCCCTTTAATAATCAGATTTGTAAAAATATGCTTACAGAGGTGACATTGCCTTCAGCAAGTTTTATGATGCTAAAGCTACCTTCCTCATCATCAATTTTTGGTTTCTTAGGGTTGGGTCCATCTTCACTGCTGCAAATGAGAAGGACAAAAATGAATATAAACACTTAAAGTAAACTGTCCTGCCTACTAAGTAGGGAGTCAGTAAATTAATGAAATATACACTGAACACTGGACAAAAGTTCATTATACAACTGTTCCCAAATTAACATTAAACCATGCCTCATTTTTCCCCACAGGCTACACGAAGCAGACAGTAGAGACAGAGATCAAACTTTATCTTAGCATAAAGCAAAGGCACCACTTGTTGAAGCTGTGAGATTATTCGTGCTTATTTCAGGAGTGAATTTACTCATACACATCTTCTCCACCTTTCTAAATACATAATATCTCCAGTCACTTTATTTGGAACCTGCATATTGAGTTAACCTTGATAATTTACAGTATATTACATGACATTTGGTGTTCTCACCAGATGTTCTTAACATGAAATGGCAATGAAACTTAACATTTCATTAAGAAATTCATTTACTCTTCAAAAATTACCTGCTAGTTCCTGTCTTGGAATTGATAGCTACTACAAAGCTGCTTACACAGTGGCTTTTGAGTCTAATGACCCATATCCTCCATCAGCACACAAGAGCTTTATAAACTTCCACTTACAGCAGTCAAAACCTGCTAGACAAACCCCAATTAAGTATGTAAGAACTCTCTTAGGACATTTTAAGCTACATCTGAAAATGCTTTCAAAAGACTGTTATTTTTAAAAAGCTACTTGTAATTTTAGGCTACTTTCTAGCTTTGCCCTCACAGGTAGCATATACCAAGGTGTACATTCAAACCAGAAACTTAATTGTAACGTGCCAAACTTCAGAGCACATCTTGGCAACAGAAGAAAATCCAGCTAATCACAAAAGGGGAAGAAAATCAGACACTGTGTTCTGTGTCACTTAATGTGACAGGCTACTGACACGGAAGAATCGATTTCAGTTTAAGAATGACTGAAAGCTACTCAGCGATCTAAACGGCAGTATTTGTGTTCAAGGAATCCCAAAATAAAGAAAGAAGTATTTCTTAAAAATTCTACCACTGCAGTGAAAAGAAGAAACTGCTTGACGATGTAGGGACAAAGCCAGAGATCCTGGACTAGGTGCCATTTTGCATTCTACAAGGTTAGAACTGATTTTAAAAATTGCATTGTGTGTTACAGAAGCAATCAACTATTAGAAAGAACGTGTACAGTCTTCCTTTTTACCTCCTATAGAACACACTTCCCCTATTTTACAATCAGTGTCTATCCCACTTTGTTTCAGTAGTCTTCTCTGTCCTTTACTTAATTTTGTCACTAGTGAAATGAAATCCCTTCTCCTCAGCACCTCCTGTCATCCAACATAACCTTACTTATCAATCTAGGAGAAATGATGACTTTGGTTATGCCTCAGGACAAGGATAGGATACCTTGCTTCATTCTCAACTCTGCTGACTTTCTGGCTGACCTTGAAGAAGTTGCTTGATTGTTTTGGACAGGCAATATGCCTGCCTGTAAAATGGAAAAACTGATAATTATCTAACACCAGTGAGTTTAGAACTTCTACTTGAACCAAAATTCTTGTACATTGTTGTGGTTTGATGAAAGGTGCAAAGAGCAACGAAAACTCTCTTTTAGAATATTTTTCTCTGAAGGTGTTTTCCACTCAATTGCAATGTCTTGAAATCTTTTTCCTCCTGCATTATTTTTACTGATTCAAAATGCTTTGCAATTGCAGGAAGGAGGAGAACATAAATGATGATGCTGCATTTAACTGCCTAGGACCAAACCTATAGCTGTCATTAATCAGTGCAGCACAGCAGAAACTAATGAATCCATACCCATTTATACCAGCCAAGGATCTGACATTTAGAATCTGTTACTGGTAATGCACTGATTAGCAGTATTTTTAAACTGTAAAACGTGCAACTACTATTTGAGAAAAATTAATAAAATACAAGATTAATTTAAAACACCCACTTCTACATTTATATAGAAGCCTCTCACATACTGCAAAGCTGGATAAGGTAACAGCCGCTCCAAAGCCGATCTAAGAAGAAAAAAGTAAAATGCTTTCTACTTCACTGGATTTTTCAAACTACACTGAGCTTAGCAAAAGTGAAACAAACGAATGCTGAACATTAAAATCTGTATTAAGATATCATGCCTACATTTATGCTGCCTTAATCCCATTAGACCTTAAAAATTAAGCACAGATGAATCAGGTCAATATGATGATAGGAAACACAAATCAGTTTTAGAAAACAAAAATAACAGTCAAGAGAGCTTCTAGCCAACTTTTTCAAAACACTTTAGTGCAAATTGTCTAGATCTGATAGTTTTAATAAGTTGAATGTTTTCTGGTGTTTAACATTTTCCTTAGTCATTGTTGCAGAGTGATGTACTTTTCTTTATCAAGTGATTTAATTATATCACTCAGTTTTTCCCCAAACACAGAACAAAAACATAGAGTTAACACTTCTGTTGTAGTACTGACAATACTACTGTTCCCATTCATTACTACAGCAATAACATTTTTTTTCATATTTTTTAATCCTATTACCATTCATTCTTCTTTGCATAGGTGCGTCTGTATCCTTTTGCCCTCCTTACAAATTTTTTTTAAATCATTTTAATGCCCTACACCAATTTCTATCTCAATTATTTTCATAGCTGCTTTCATCACCCCTCTAAAGGAAACCAGTTTTTAAACAAAATAGCTTTCCTTCTTGCTTCTCAAATTGATGCCTTTGGGGATGTATGTTTTTAAGCAACTACCAGTAATGGGTCACTGGTTTTTGTTTAAATTCTCTCCCTAGCTTGTTTGAACCCAAGATTTGCCTTTTTTTTTTTAAAATGGTTCTATCACTTTTTAAAATACATGTATAAATGTATGTATACACACACACACAGAAACTGGGGCACAGAGCAAGGACAAGAGAATTTAATCAGTATGAATTCACAGACACACCAAGACAAGACAGGCACACCCAGCAATGAACAAAATACAAAGCAAGGTGTTTCCCAGTCTGTGTACAGAAACGTGGTCATTATTCCAGAGCAGTAATGTGGGAAGTCCTATGTCATGTCTTCCGAAAGACAACATGCTGAGGAGGCTCTAGCCAACCCAAGGTAAAGGATATATGACAGCCCAGCTAAGCAAGGCCTCAAAATGGCTCAGACATTGTTCCTAGTGCTGAAAGGACTGAGCTAAAAATGACAAAAGGGAGGGAGAAGCAGCTAACTGAGAACTCTCTAACATCCCAGGGGACCCAGTAGTTATATTATAGGCATTCAATAAATTAAGCTCTAAGAAGCAGATTTTGTTTGAGCAAATTGACTTGTGGCTTGGGTGACAGTACCAATGCAGTAGCAATTAAGCATTTATTTTTCGTATTTGCAGCACAAATAAAGTAAACACAGTATATGTAATAACAAAAAAAAAAATTATCTTCAGAACTGTTCAGACAAGACATGTTCCAGGAAGAGTCCATAACAGTTTGATTTTTTCAAGACATCCACATTTATTGCTCAGCAGATAATAATGAAGCTGCTTTTCTTTTGATTTGGAATTCAAAATGAAAGCTACAGAACAACCTAAATTGAGCAGGCTGAGAAATAAGATTCGTCTTTACAGCTAATTTAAAGCTCTACAGCATTTATTCTAAACTAAATTAGACCCACTGTTATTCTTATTTGAACTATTTTATAACTACCAGTAGGACAAACTGACCAGGAGACAGTAAGCAATGCAACAGGTTGCCCAGAGAGGATGTGCAGTCTCCATCCCTGGATGTTTTCAGCACCAGACTGGATGAAGCCCTGAGTTACCTGTTTAGATCTCATAGGTGACCCTGCTTTGAGAAGCAGGTTGCACAAGAAACCTCCTGAGGTCCCTTCCAACCTGATGGATTTTGTGACAACAAATACAGACATGAAGAAGCTACAGACTGCTTCCTGGTGTGTCTTGCCCCGTAATAGTAAGACCGCCACTATTCACAAAATATCCCAGACATACTGCGGTACCACAATATTCTCCACCCATCAGTATTTTTTCAGTGTGTAACTCATTGATCTTATGTTCAAAAGACTCTGAACCTGCTTCATCAGCAAAACAATTTGAAGTGTAAAAAAAAAGTTTCAAAAAAATCCATAATACATCTCCAACTTACTTGTCTTTGAAGATGTCTTGGGCAGTCTTCTCTTCCTTTTTCTTGCCAACTTCCTTTAGAGGGAAAAGTGCTTTTACTTTTTCAAGAGGAGCCTGACACCTTTCTTTTACCACACGGGGCACCTCCAGCATCTCTAAAATGTGCTGTTCAACTGGTGGCAATGGCTCATTGGGGTGAAAAGCCTTATGCTGCAAACACTGCAAGAAATAATTTGAGCAAAGGAAAACTTTTAGTTTATGTGCTTTTAATATAATGCTTGTATGCCTGACATCATATGGTACATGCAAAATACCTTCCATATTAAAGAAACTACCTTCATATTGCTGACAAATATTCCAGCTCACAAGTGGATTGAAAGTCATATGATGAGCTGTTTAAGGACATTAATAATGATATTAAACAACAATACTGATGCAGATGAGTGTTCCCACACTCACTGGAATGAGTTCTATGAGAATCATTAGGAAAATCCCAGGAATGAAACAGTCATCTGCATCTATTCAGCTTTTTGACTTCACTTTACCTTTAAAATGCAGTTCTATTATAAAGCAGTCACATGGGAGAGACTTCTATACATTCCAAAATTAGGTAATGAGATTTATGCCCCAACCACATATTCCAGTTATTGTCACAGTTTATTGTCCCTCAAAGAAAATATTTCTTCTTGGTCAGTAAAACTCAGTATTCATACAAGAGAAATTTTCACCAGTTTAAGAGCAAATGGAAAGAGAGAAGTTAAATGTGCACAGGTAAGGCACAGAATATAGGTATGTTTGCAAATTAGCTTTGAAAAGAGTGAGGGAATGAAGGGGCCTGACAGATGTACATCAAAGTTGGAACAGATGGTAGGAGCTACAGAGGAGAAGGTTTTTTCACCAAAGTGTAAAGACAGTGCACACAGTCAGGAAGCCAAGCAGAGTGAGAGAGATGAGGTTAATGAGGCAGGCTACAGAAATTCCATTGAGAATTTTTAAAACAAAGTAGGTATCTCTTAAATGTTGTGAAGTGTGGGATAGCAGTAGAGATTTATGTGTATGTGCATATATTTACACAGATACCAGTGCATGCACACGCACACAAGAACACGTGAGGTACATGGGAGAATAATTTTTCCAAGCCCATTGTACCGGGTGAATTAGACACAAGTGTGAAGGTAACTACTCAGTAAACTAGGAATACAGCAGAAATTTGCTCCCCTGTTGGCTGTCAGACATGACATTAATTTAAAAAACAAAACTAAAGCAAACAAAAAAAATCCTCTCCTCATGCTGAAAAGCTGCCAATAAAGAAAATCCAGACCATATGCTACACATCAATACTGATGTGCTTTCATGCTGCCATTAAGATTCCAATCCATATTAGAGCATACTTTCAAAGAGAGGCAGTCATACAAGGCTACTGATTTGGAAACACTTGTAATGATTTAAGGCATAATTATTTTGAAAGAGAGTAAAAATGTTGCTGGAAGCTGCAGTAATGGCTCTTGTGATACAAAAAAACAATATTAAAACAGTATTAGGGGACTGAATTAAACTCACAAAGCAAAAAACCTAAGTCCCCTGTTGTGAATGTGTTTTTTCAGGCTTTTGCATCCGAAATCTCTATGTGTGCAGCTGCAAGAGCTGAGCAGACTGAGTAGCCACAGCCTCCTTTTGTTCCTCTGAAACCTCAGATGACAGGTACCATCAAAACTCAGGTGCTAAATGGAGATGAAGTTGAACAGACTTAACCTGAAGTTTCTAATCCGAAACAGTCCCTTTTAACCTTGCTTCCTTCTCCTTCTGTGCCCAGCAAGAACCACTCCTACCTTCACTGGCTAGAAGGCAACCCACGCTGCCACTGGCTTCCAGACTCACCGTTTTATTCATGCATGTTGTCAGCAACACACTAGCTTCTCCTTGCTCTTCTTAATTTCCTTACATTTCCAGCCTAGAGATGCAGCCAGCTTTCAGGAACAGGGGTCACACTAAGATACTGGTCAATGGATGTAATGAAGTGGGCTTTTCACATAATTAATTCCATGATAAGCAATGGCATAAATGCATGAATAGACAGGAATTTACTGCAAGAAAGCATCCTGCCTTGTTCCCTTCCACACAGCATCTAGAACACACTTTTGTAAGAACGTATTTTAGCAAATCTATAAATCCTACAGGAACCTGATAGTATTTAAAGCCTTAGAACATGGGAGACAGATTCAGCTATCTAAAAGATAAACATCTAGACTATATCAGTCATTTATTCACTCTACACGACCACAACTATCATGTACTTAGGATCTCCAAAACAAGAAGGGTCAATTACTTTCCCAAGGTTCTTTTTTCAGGGATTATGGAATAGATTTGGACAACTCAGCTTACACTAGTTGGCTAGTTTCAGGGTAGTTAAACCTCTGTGAACTGAATCCCAACATGTGTCTTAGAGTTCAGTTTATATCTAGTTTGTGGCGATTTCAAAATGACCGTCCAACAGATCCCCTACATTCAACCAAAGGTAAGATTACTTGTTGCTGAAAGCCCTTACAGACTTCTGTGAGGTACCTCCTGTCCCCCCTGCTGCTCTGCTTTTTGAAAGAACATCACTGGACCATCCAACCACTTACAAACAAGCTCAGCTCTCTACAGTCTCCTACATGTGGTCTAACAAGAGCCATTATAGCATATTTAGATGCAGACGCTGCAGCTGGATCCCATGAACTATGCGATGCTGCAGGCCACCGTCCCCACAAACCTTCCCCCCAGGTCTCAGTACGGAATAATCATAGTTGAGCAATTTGTTTATTTGGCTATCAAATAAAATGCACTGCATTCCCCAGATGCCTTATGTGCTTCAAATCCCTGTATTTAAGAGGAACAACTTAAACAATGACGGTGGAATTCTGCCACCACAAAAGCTATGGAAGTTTGCTCAGGCTTTTCTGGAAGCAAGGAATAAAAGTTGAAACTCTGGACATAGGATATTCCTCATCTTCCACTCCAGCAAGTATTAGCAACTCCTTTCCACCCACTCTGTCATTTCCTGATGCCTACCACTACTTCCAGAGATATAATTTAGCTTGATGTTTCTGTTTAAATTCTGGCTCTTGTCACTTATCGCTCCAAATATCTTCATGAGGCAACACAGCAAGGAAATGAAGGGGGAGTTCATCCTTTCTTCAGAGTTATTTTTCCAAACCATCTATAGGTCCTGTTCAGCCCAATCAATTTACTGGCTACGTTCAAAAGATGATGTGTAATTTTTCTGCATAGTTCTTCAGGAACTCCAGCAGTGCCACTTGGACTAAGAGCAAAATATTAAGAATCTGGAACATGTTTGCAGCAAAGGAGAGAACAATCTTTCTGCAAGTTACACAGATTAATAACAGTTTTGTAACCAAGACAAAAAAATGGGGCTGTGCGCAGGCAAAAGAAAGCACTAAAAGGACTGGTAATTTAGGGCTTTATAAACAACCAAGCACTGTGGACAGGAACTGTATACTACCTAGTACATTGAAACAGTCAATAAACACTTTTTCCACCAGTAGCATTCACCTATTATCCTCAAAATCCTATTATCCTCTGCGAAAATTGGTGAGTTACACAGTTACTCTCTTCTAGCAGCACTTGACTCAACTGCTGGGACACCACCATCATACTGTTTCAGAAAACAAATGGCACACCTAAAGAAACATCTTTCGTTGACAGGCGACATCCACTGAACCAAAAGAATGCAAAATTGCATCTAGCAATATAATAGAGGAAATTTTATCCCCTATGTGTTTCATTGACAAGCAAAACCATATTTGTTTTGTAATACCCAAGTTTTACAACCCTTCCTAAAATACGAGTCACGGAGAGGTCTATCCATTTTAAGCTCTTGCCCAGCAATAACCTTCTACTGACCAAATCTTGCATTCAGTTACACACCATCTTGTCAATATGGCTGGCAGAATTTGAAGGGAACACTAAGTTCTGCAGGTGTCAATCAGAGTAGGATTTGAAGACAGTGGGCTTACATGTGTTCCTGAAACATACATATGACCTTCAGATCCTTTGCTGCTTTTGACAATACTAAGGCAGCATGGCTTTTGGAAGCTCGGGTAAGTTTTCTTAATTTAAAAAAGCATCTTCTTCCTACTTGTAAACTGAAAAAAATTCATTTAGAATTGTTGAGATATGATGAACATGGTTGCTATAATACCATTTTTGGTCAATTTTCAGAGTGCAGTCACGCACTCAGTATATCTCCATGGCTCTGTATACAACACAATTCTGCAGCTGCATAAATTGCATTGTAATCTTCCTTATTTTTGAATTTGCTGTGTCATTTTTTTGAACACTTGAATTCTAATGTATAATTAAGTCTCTCATCCTCACAGTTGCAATGAAAATATTCATGATATGAAAGGAATGTAAATCAAAATGTAGACAGCTTGATGCAATAACTGCAAGAAGTGTGAACTGTTCTGCTTGCCCATAAAATGCGTCAGCTCAGACACCCAAATGGAATATTTTAAATGTCAACAATGTTAACCATTTACTTCTGATCAAGTTCACCACAGACTGATCTGTTTTGGAACCACTGCTAGATGCAACAATGCACAGAAAAGTGACTCTGCTGAAGATTTGATGGGACACAGAATGAGGAGCTAAAAAGATCCCTGATTTTCAGTCAATTTCTCTCTTTGCCCAGAAGCTGAAGACTAAGTCTACGTCTGCACCATGATCACTGCAATACAGTGTTGAGATACGCAAGCAAGTTTGAACTTGTCTAGTCTAGGTGCCTGTGAGTATCACTGATGCTGTTGCAGACACCTCAGCACAGGTGTAATTTCCCTTGGAAACTGGAAATTTTAAAAATAAACTCTATGTCAAGGACAACATAGAAATCACTGGCTACCCCATACTTAAATGCAAAAGAATTTATATTCCCATCTTCACAATGCAGATCTTTCCAATGTGAATCAGAGAAAGACAGAAAGGTGAAAAGTCTTAACAAAAGAAATTTTTAAAAACTGCCATATAGTTCATCTTACCTGATATAACCTCTGAAAATGAGGGTTTGAGATTTTGCTGGGCTTAAACAGGTCTTCAAAAGTTTCTCCATCATCATCTTCATAAATCAAATTCATAGAATCAATCAAAGAGTCGACAGCAGATAACTGATCCGCTAAGGCAGCAATTACATACAAAGAAAACTTAAATACACTTGCAGATGGATGGATTTCTTGAAACAATTTCTAAATGAAGATACACTTCACCATGTGAGATTTTGACCAATTCATTACATGCCACAGAATACACTGCAGATACAGACGTGCCAATAAGGCGTATGGATAATGGATACAATAATAAACCCCCTGCTTTATTTAAGGACTAAAATGTAAAGTCTTAAAGCCTTTTTTTTCCCCCCCAAGACCTCAATTATTGCTGCCTTTCTGCTTCCATTTTTCTTATTTTTCAAGATGTTTTTATTTGCAGCAGAAGGTTTATAGGTCACTCAGAAAATAAGGAGAACAGTTGGTCTGAAAAACTAAACGGCGTAATATAAATTTTAAAAGTTATGACTGCAAATTAACACAGTACACAATAGTCAACTATTGCTTTGGTAAAACATGTTTTAGATTTGTTCTCAAACTGTAGGTTACAGGCAAGAGAACAGAAACTGTTTCAGAAACAACCCAGCATGCTTTATATACCCTGATGTGCAGATGCCCATTCAATGGACCTCGTAACAAATTAAAGAAGTGGGAGTGGATTTTAGACTACATCCATTTACGCTCATTGCTGTGCAAAATTCTCAGAACAGTGAGTCAAGCTTTGTATGGCTGCATGTTCTGTGGCTCTCCAAAGACGCCCTCTATCTGAATCTGGACACCAGTAAGTGCATGCTTTAAAAAACAACACACCACAGAAAGTACAGTCTTTGCCTTTGTACATTATATTAACAGGCCATACTGCAACTGGCTACAGGACCAGCTTTGTACGAACGGAGCTGATGCCTCTATTTTAATTCTAGCTAGCTAATCACATATCGTATCTCCCACAAGATTTGGCCATTTAGTCTCACAAATGAGTTCAAAAATCAAAGGATACAGAGGACTAAATCTCAGACGTCTATCACAGAGATCTTGTGAGACTAATAATCCCATAACCCGAGGCAGAAGTCATTTAACAGTAGGTTTTAAAAGACTGCCTGCAAACCTCAAGTCTGCTCAGCCTGCAACTAAGCTGTTAAAGTTTTGATACAGGCTTTACACTTCAAGATGACATAATCATAATGTGTTCCCAAAGGCCTGGGGTTTTTTCCCTAAGCCAAAATAGTGACAAAGCTTATGTTTCCGTTGGAAAGCCAAATATTCGAGCTCTTTTAGAGTCTCTAAGGAAGACAAGTAGGTTACTTTGTCCAGTTGCCCAGTGAAGGACTATTTTACCTGTAGGAATGCATTTTTTATTGTTTTTCAAGGATGAAAATATGTACTGTCTTAAGTCTTCCATGTAGGGTAGTTGCACATAGATGAGACACTGAGCAAGACAAAAGAAGAAAGAAACAACTGAGCCTGAAGTAAAAAAATCTAAAGTATCCCAAAGTGCCCTATCAGGACAATATAAACGTAAGAAAAATCCAATAATACCTGTGTGTGTCAAAATACTTAAGTAAAATATTTACAGAGCAACACAGTTTTAAGCAGAATAAAACACAGCATTATTTTATAATATAGCGATGACTACACTCCTCATTTTTCTACTGGTGGAATAACGATCTCCCAGGTCATCCAATCCCTTCTTCTCGTGCAGAGTTCCAACCAGCCAAGCTTTAAATACCCCATACATTGGCGCTTTGGGAGGTTTTATCATAGCTTACTGTGTTTCAAAGTCAAAAGTTGGTTTTGTTTTTTCTTTATTCAAATACCTCCTCCAGTTCATACCACCCTAAATAATTCCTTTCCATCCTTTATGTTTATACCCTTCATAAGTCTGAAGATTGTTATATCCGCCCCCACCTTCGTCATTGCTTAGCCATGCTATACATATTTAGCTCTTTCAATAGTCTCTCATAAGCAAGATCAGTGGAAACATATGCTGCAAAAATTCTGACATACTGTGTTGCTTCTGGGCCTCTCAGAATTTTAAAAAATTTATTTCAAATATGATTCTGCTGTGTACAGAACTTTCTTTTTTTTTTCCCCTAAGAAACAGACTTCATTTTTTTTCTCCTGTTTTTTAAAATAACCTTTTCAAGTAAATAAATATACTGCTGTCTTCCTAACTGTCCATATGAATTTAAACAACAGCTTTAAATGCTGTGAGCTCCTCCCCTCAGTTCCAGTTGACTTGGAAACCTAATGACAACAGTGTCGTTGGACATGCTTGAAACACCACGCCAGCTATCAAATTCAAACTTTGCACTACCAAGCAACCTGGAGATAAATCCATAGTTTAAGAAAATGAAATAATCTAGTGCAACTTGGATTGTACGCAGAGAGGTAGGTAGTAACACAGCAAGAAAGCAGTGGTAACTTATTACATAAGTGATTACGCTGTTTCTAGATACCAAAAAAATTGAGATTTCCAGGATAATAAAATTAAATTATTACTATGTTATTGAAATAAAAATCAGTATTATTTGAATGTGTAATATAGAGGATACTAATAGAAATATATGGCATTATTTTTCCATGTATTTTTTCTATGGAATTTTCTTAATACTATTTATTACCTCCTTGTCCTAAGACTCAGTACTATTTCCTAAAAATCACTCTGAAAAGTCACATTGGTTTCTTCCGCTATTACACAACACTGCAAATTCATATGGTTCAAATATGATCGTTTATTAATTGGTATTTGTAAAGCATCAATACGGAGGCTATCTACAGAAAGTAAGAGTGAAAAATTACCTCGTATGCATCCTTAATATATGGAAAAGCTACCCCAATTTGCGGGTTGCATCTTCTATCATAAACGTAACGCACTATAGCTACCACTTTCAACTCATCCAATGCATGAACAAGGGCGGAAAAAGCAACTGCTGCATTCTGGGGGAGGGAAGGAAAAAAAAAAAGTCTAGAGAGTCATGCAAGTTCTCATTTGTCTGCTGAAATACACCTTTACCAGTGAATTCAACAACACTGATTTAGTCAAGACCAGTTCCCATTTCAGCTATAACTTCAACACAAGCTTTTCTCATGTTCAAAAAACGAAGAAGCAGAAAGGTTAAATCTCATCATGATAGTGGATCCCTTCAAAGCTCAGCAAACGTTGGGCAGTGGAACGAGACTTCTGTAAGCTGCGTTAAGAATATTTGTTTTATTAACACGGAAAGAAGGGACAATTTCAAGCACCACTACTGTTCTTTTCTGTTCCACAGCAAAACACCTTCAGCATTAAACTTCAGTTCACCTTACCTCATCATCTTTCGCTGCAAAGACCTTCAGAACCTGGTTGCCCATGTAGTAATGCCTCTGGATCTACAGATTCAAATGGTCAAGAGTTAGCCTGATCTAAAACAAATGTCATTAATGTGACTGGACCAATTAAATTCTGAAACAACTAACACATTACTCAAGTGAGAAGCCACAAAATTAAATTACTGTGCATAGAAATTACAGCTCTGTATATGTTTCATATCTCCATTTATCACTCAATATGGATATTCAGTCATATTCGGCAGGATGTTCTCATACCTTCCTATTGATGGGCAGGAATGAAAGACTACGGTACTCGCAGCTGTTATCAGTCTGAATAATACTGCAGTAATTCAAAAGTCAGTGTGGAAAACCACAGTAGTTAACAAAAGACCTAAGCCTAACTGACACCACATCTATGCTATTAAATTTTCCTAGCAAAGACATGTCAAAAAGGAGCTGACAAAAGTCACATCCTTAATTAATAAAGCTACTTCAACAGCAACCTGGAGTACGTACAGCTGTGCTGGCAAAGAAGCAATTCTGTTAGCAGAGTTTATGCTGTTCATGAAAATGGCTGACAAAAAAAAAAAAACAACCCAAACCCAGTTTCATTAAGGGGCACTGCTGGAACAGCTGGAGCCACAGAGGCTGTGAGACACACCCAGAGAAACACTGCAATAGCGGAAAACCTGTCACAAAGACTGCACCCTACTATGAACACTGGTTAAAATGACCTTTCTTTGTTAAAGAAAAATCTCTTCAAATTACACTGTCTCCAAACTAACCTGGAGTTTCATTATTTAACAAATTACCATAATGCTGTTGAAGTCAGTGACAACTTGCACCAGAGCAGATCTGCTTAATGTATTACAGCACGATTCTTCAACTCAGATTATTCTACCTGCAATTATTCTTTGCTGTTCTGTCTTTAAAAGCTCAGGAAATTTTATGTTCAGTATAGTATAAATAACTAGACATATCACTACACCTTTTTTTGTTTGGGGGGAAAAAAAAATGGTCCCTTTTTAATATTTTCAAGTATTATTTCTTGATTTACATGGCATTGCTTATAAATTAAAAATCAAAGTTTAAGCGGCCTCTGATCTTCTTTCCTGAGGGATGTGAATAACTCGGAAAAATAATATAAGGTGATTCTATTCCTTCTTTAATTATGTATTTGGAGCTGTTCCAGTTTCTCCAGTTAATAATAAATTATCTTTTCTCCAAAGTTTTTAAAAGAAACAATTTAATATAAAACATACATTTGAATAGCATCAGTATTATGATTCCAAACAATAAAATTCAGGAGCCAAAACATAAGGAAAGCATGGGTCTTGAAAATTCTAGTTGTAGTTGAAAACTTCCTGGTATCATTATCTATACAGTGTAATTTTAATCCTGCAATCACACCTGAATAATTTTATTCCACTGAGGTCTATGCAACTACTATTGGGCATAATTACCCACACTCCTAATTACAGGACCAGAGCGCACTTTATTTAAGATGTAATTCCTATTCATTATGAAATCCACAGAAGAGACAAGCACATCATAAAAATTATCAAAAGCAATAAATATTTTGTGCATTGAAAAAATATAAACCCAATTTGTTAATTCTTTGAGGCATATTTATGTGATCAAAAATATTCCTACAATTAATTATTAACTATGTATTTGAAGGTATTACCACACTATCTGACCAATGGTGGGGGGAAAAAAAAAATCCATGTGAAATAACAGCTCACTGACAGGAGCATGATGCTTCTCATGTTTTCCTCTTAGTTTCTGGTTTCAATAAAATTCAGACTTCAGGTCGAAATAGGAGGCCAGCCTCCAGCATAAGAAAACACTGCACATGGTGAAATACATCTTACAGAATTAAATGAAGACAGTAAGACTCAGCTGTAGGCTAATAACGCATGAAAAGATGCAAGAAATTGTCTCATTGAAACACTGGGTTCAGACACAACATTTCTCTTGTTAGATCCAGTTTCTGGTACAGGATTTAACACTCCCTAACACCTCTCTGCCCTGGCCAATCTAGGGCATGTAAGCTCAAGCATGATAATGTTTCCTCAATCAATCACTTTCAGTACACAAGCTCCCATGTTACTTAACAACTTTAAGTTCTGAATATCCTCAAGGAGCAACCAGGTTACAGTTCCCATTTAGGCTGGCTTCTCATTTCAATAAATCAACATAACCTCCTGGCTCCTCAGTTAATAATATGCTTTGGACCACTGCACTGCAGTAGTCTAAGGGCATATCTAGCAACATGAAGGGGTCTCTGTGCCACCTGTACTGTAAAGTAAAAATATGTTTAGTTACATCCATTTGGGAGTAAGCTCCCACAGATACTTCCTATTTCATTAGCATCTTTCCTTTTAGCATCTTTCCTTTTAGCATCTTTCCTTCCTGGTAAAGGTAATGATTCCTCAGCCTTCGTCAAGGGCTCTATTTTGTTCAGGCAGCGAGACATTTCAAAGAAGAGCAAGAGGGCTGGGAGCTTTCAGAACAGAAGGCACGGAGCTGCTCTATGATTTCCTTTCAGTTTTGAGTGGTGAAGGGGACTGGGTGCAGTGAACTCCAAGAAGAGTAAAGTTTCAGTCACCCTGTGCAATATCCTGGAGAAGAAAGAGCGGGAGGAGCTTAACATTTCTAGCAATTACTGGTGCTCACACGTCCGTACTTTCTTCTCATGTGTCCTGCTTCCACAAGGGTTTTGTTAAGCCTTTGCCTAAGGCTTTCCTAATGCTTACATCCTGGATTTTCTGCAGGAAATCACCTGGTGCTGGATAGCTTTTATTAAGGTATTTGCTCAATGTAAGTTTCTTACAACTTCCAGGTAAAACAAATGGCAATGTTAATACCACAAGTACAGGTAAGTGCATACAAACACCAAGCACCTCATTGAAATATGGAGAGTTTTTGAATGATGTTATCTTCATCTAAGTTCTATGAAGTCTTTGCTACATTTAGTTTTTGTTATAGTAGAAACAAGAAGCAAGTCACAGTTCACAAACTAATCCTTATGGAAATGAGAATGAATGCAGTCAGTTCTCAGGCTTTCTTTAACATTTCTTTAATGTTGAGAGAGAGGCTTCTTCTGTTAAAAAGAACACACTTGTGGCTGGACAAAGCCCAAAAAGGCTTCTGCATGACCTGAACAGAAGAGAGACCATCTTCCATTGCAGATCTGGCATCACTAAGTTCGTGAGATGAAATGAGACTACAATACCTGTCTCCACTTCGCAGAGATCTGAGGTCAGTGGCTCTTGCTTCACTTGAGGGCCCAATGGCCACATTTATGAGCTTCCCCCCTTCACAAGACTATATACTGTTTACATGTACTAGAATCAGCAAACAAGTCAGCCCTGTATACCTGACTGCAGATGCTCCATTCCCAATACTGGAACCTAGTACAACACCACAACTTTAGTGAATTCAAACTGAAATCAATTGTCTTGAACAACCTAGGAAGTTGAATGGGAAGAAGTTTAGTACTGTACCTGAGAGGATCTGCTGAATCCCAAAACAGAAAAACATTTTGCTTCTGTTTTGTATTTCATTTGCTCTTCATCTTCCTTGGAAAAAGGAACTATATCACTCCCATAGCGAAACCCTGGAGAACAAGAGAAGAGCATCTGGTAAGCATATGGGCCTACAATTCTAACACCGAAATTAGCTCTCTGAATATTTTAACAATGCATGCATGCCCCACAGCTACACTCCACACACGCTCATCAAATTACTTTCCCTGTTAACAGAAAAACCACACACCTCATAGACACGTTTTGTACTTCACCAACAGCAGTTGCACTCCTTGTACATCGTTTTATGTAACATGGCTACCCTCATAGAGAGCAGGAAAGAAAATCAGGGAACTGAACATCTTGCCCAACAAAGTTACGCTCACAGAATAGATTTAAGCAAATCAGAATAGATTTCAGCAAATACGTTTGCAGGGAGTGTTGCAGTCTAATACAAAAAACCCCAAACATACCACAAATCATGGACAGGAAATGACACTAGAAGGGATTCAGAGAACAAAATGTGTTAACAGTGGAAGTGAGATACACCCTCACACGCAATGGAAAACCAAAACACTCTTGTATGCAGAAGTGGTCTTTCTATACACCTCTGCGTTTTACTTCCCGTGCCTTACATTACAGGGATATCTCCACAAAATAGGAAGCTGTTAGTTTCTCAGCGGTATCATCTGTTCCAACTGCTTATTCCCCCATCTCAAGCTACAATATCCTCCCTGTAACATCATCACTTTATTACACTGTCACAGACTAAGGATGGTATCCTCAGGTGCAAAGAAAGCAGAAGGAACAAAGGTAAATCCCTGGATGAAAAACCTATATGCACATACATTTCCCTGGAAACTGAAAAGCAAACACAGGCAGAATGAAAGAAATTTCAGTATGGGTGCTCCAAATGCAAAATATTGTCTAATTATGACATTTCTCAAAATGTCCACAAAAGTCCATGAGGCATCAGCAGCTCTTTAATTGTTAGAAATATCACACCATTGATAAGAGAAATTTTTGGTCTCTTTTGTTCACATTGAACGGTTCATCACTTCTTTTTACTAGTGTCCCACAACCACTCACCAACTTAGGCAGTCAGGACATCAGCAGAAAATGGTCAAAAATGCTTCAAAATACATTCACTATAAAAAGTGGATTTTTTTTTTTATTTTACTAAAAGTTTTGAAATTATAAAACATAAAGAGACTACTAGCTTTTAACTATCATTTCTGCTTAAAGAAACAGAGAAAATCACACTGTCGTTGGGACATTTTTATCTGCTACTGTTATGATTGCTACAATCGAAAAAGGTTAAATAAAAAAATACAGTATGTATCTCAATTTTTCAATTTATTTTATTCATTTGACAGCACTTTCTATACTGTTATCTCAATAATTCTGCCCTTTACAGTTAATACACCTGCCCTACTTGTGTGGGATTGAAACAGCAAAGGAAAGAAAAAAATTAGTAACAAAATATATATAAAATTGCAAAAAATTAAACATATTTGATTAACTCCATTTTTAAAAAGTAGACTATTTCATACTGTTTCTGGGGCCTTCAGTCTTCTAAGGAATTTAATCCACTCAGAAAGAAGCTGAAGGTTATAAAAGTATTCTGCATAGCACTACAGATTGAACCTGTTACGGAAATTAAACAGCAAAGCTAATAGACTCTTGAACACTAAACCTTCCTTTAACGGTTTCACCTTCCCAAGTGCAAAATGTCTAGAGCAGTTGCTTATCTAGAAGAAAGCAGTGTTATGAAAGTATTCATGTTATCAGTACAACTGAAGATTTGAAAACAGAACAGAGGTTGCAGCACTACTCACTACAGAACTGAGGTATGGTCCTCCACAGAATACAGTTTAGGAAGCTGTAGTGCCTTCCAAGTTCCACCTGGTGGTATTATTATTATTCCTATTAGACTGCAACACTCCCTGCAAAAGTAAGAATTTTTAAAATATGTGAAGACAAAGTGTCTCACATAACAGTCTCTGTGTTCCATCAGCTTACAGAGCTTACATTCTAAGATCACAGCTAGGCTTCAAAGTATAAAACTAAAAGGCACTTAGATGATTTAAGAGTACAAGCCATTATCTTTGGTTTGTCTTCAGGGTGCACATAAAGAAGTCATACCTTGAATAGTATCATCTCTCTGAACCTCTGTCTCGTCATCATCATTCAAGCAGTAAACAGTTTCTTTTTGCACATCATCTTTTCTGAGGGTTTTAGCATCCACAACTGTCCACATTTTTTTTACCTTCTCTTCTGTGACCTTTATATCAGAATTCAAAGAAAAGGAACATCTAACATTTCAGTGGGATCCACAGCGCTTACCAGAACACGCATAAAATTCGTAGACCAAGCGCTGTATTGTTTTGCCAATACAGGACTAATAATGACAGCCCCAAATATGCATCTCTGACTGCTACCACAGTGCTTTCAGCACACTGTTTCATCTGTATGAGACCTAACACCTGAGCTATATCATATTGACTGCATACTTGTCTTGGGTATTCATCAAAGTCATGGGCTAAGCCATCTGTGGAAGTCTTTCAGTCACAGGATAACATGTAACTTGCTTGCTATGTATTTTACCTCCTCCACCTACATAAAAGCTTTTGACAAAGCATTAAGATATATGTTAAAGATACAAGATGACTCAATGCTCATTCAGCTTGTTTGCCCAAGTTTTGCATCAGGCTTACTCCACTACAGGATAAAAATACCCTATGCTACTGCAACTTCCCCAAAAGGCAGAAAAAGATCCCAGTTGCATTACAGGACTGGGAGGGGAAAGAAGGAATAAATATCTGCAATGAGTGAATGTTTCCCAACTACAGGGAAAGAAAAATGCTTTCTTTTCTCTCTGCAGTGGATAAACTGATGATATACTTAGTGAATGAGAAGAAAAACAGAGAACTGGGCAGAAAACAGAAAAGACAGAATAGATTACATCACTAGATATCACAAGTCTATTCCTAGCTCTGATCCTGCTGCTGTATGACCTCAGGCTAGTCATTCAGTTCATGTTGCTTACTCTCCCAAGCTTCGTTTATTTTGTGTGTAAACACCTTTGGTAGGGGACTCTTACTGCATATTACAGGTCTGGCACAATATCCTAGTTAAAAAAAAAATTATGAATATGTATAAATAGAAAGCTGGCAGCAGAGATCTTTTTCAAGGTTAATATGCCTATCTCTCAGAAATCAGATATATTTCGACTTCATAATACATCTTCCTTGTTGGAACGTGTCCAGAGAAGGGCAACGAGGCTGGTGAGGGGTCTGGAGAACAAGTCTTATGAGGAGCGGCTGAGGGAACTGGGGTTGTTTAGCCTGGAGAAAAGGAGGCTGAGGGGAGACCTCATCGCTCTCTACAACTACCTGAAAGGAGGTTGTAGCGAGGTGGGTGTCGGTCTCTTCTCCCAAGTAACTGGCGAAAGGACGAGAGGAAATGGCCTCAAGTTGCGCCAGGGGAGGTTTAGATTGGATGTAAGGAAAAATTTCTTTACTGAAAGAGTGGTGAAACATTGGAACAGGCTGCCCAGGGAAGTGGTTGAGTCACCATCCCTGGAAGTATTTAAAAAACGGGTAGATGAGGCGCTTAGGGACATGGTTTAGTGGGCAAGGTGGTGTTGGGTTGACGGTTGGACTCGATGATCTTGGAGGTCTCTTCCAACCTTAATGATTCTATGATTCTATGATTCCTGAAACCTTGCAATATTGGCCAGACTCTCAGTCTTGGGTTCAAACAACAAACCAATCAATCTCCATCTCACCAGATCCATCAATGCTGCCACACTATATAGTTGCCTATTAATTATTCAATAACTGGAATTTTGCACATTTTCTGTGTTTAAATACACTTACTTCTTCCTAGCACTGTGTGAAGGACCTATATAAACTCTAAGGGAAACAGACTGTGCACAAGCTCTGCCAAACAGTATAAAGCAAACAAGCTGAAAAAATATACCTTTTTTCCCAAGTCTGAAATAACAATAGATGCAATTTGAAACGATAGCTGGTAAAACATTTACACCCACTATTTTACATACACGTGCATAATTCCTCTCATGCCTAGGGCTTAACAAATATATATTAAGTCTCACTGAGCTGCAGACATATCACTGATGTCAAATGGAAAGCTTCACACAAGCATAACATTTTTAATCAGGTTCATCAACTTCAACACCATTAAGTGTCACAGCGTAGATAGCAATTACTTCTATTTTTGTACAACGTGAATTTTAGTTCTTTAACATATGTGTACAATATGGTGAAGTTAGAGTTGCTGTGGGAACCACAGTTTTAGATGTACTGGCTTCTACGCTCATAAAATCTCTACCATAATTATTTTGGATGTTGTTTTATCTTTTATTTTCTTAGCTTTAAGGAAAAAACATGCAGCTGCACATAACTTGCTGCCAAAATACACTAAACCATATGATTTTATGAACTTACTGATTTGTAGGCCACAATCCTTATAGACAAATTAGAACCAATAGTGAGCTGGCAGGGCCAAGCCATAGGTCTTCTTTCTATTTTCTTAAACATGGAAAGACGCTCCAGGCTCTCTCTAAATGAAGGAATCAGGAAAACAGAAATTAACTCTGGTGAACTGTAATAAAATATTATAGACAATACACCCTCTTCAAGGAGATGCAGGAGTCCAATTGTTTCAGCTTAGACTGCATAAAAAGCATTAGAAAATAAACTGTATGAATAATCTTGTCATTATTGTCAGAAAAGAGAATGAAAAAAGAGGTGGTACAGTAGATGATTCTCATCTCGAGCCTTTCTGATGGTGTGACGTTAGGGCTTAAAGACAGTATGTTAGATCTTGTGATGAAACTGCACAATTGCTTATTAAGCACTTTACATTTATCTGTGCTCACCCAATTAGGGCATGTAGTTGGCTGAACAACCCAAATTAGAAAAGGCTTCTCTAAGTGGTAAAATGTTTTCTGCAGTGGAGATGAAGAAATAAAGAATCCAGTTTCAATTAACAGGATTTTGTTTGTGTGTAATTAACTTTTGACACTTCTTTTTTTTTATACAGTACTAATGAACTCATTATTTTCAGGGCATTCGGTTGGAGTGAAACAAGTTACTTTCAGTATTTCTAGCCTAAACAGCATAAATGCAAGTTCATAAAACACACACAAAAAAAGGAACTGTAATGATTTTATATAAAGAGTGTTAACTCCATTGCACAACTTTAAGCAATGGGGTCCCAAAATTAAAAATTGACAGTAAAAGTAATTTATAATATATTATTGTGAAATCAAATAGGCTTGCGCCCCAGAACAGCTTTCAGCTAATACAAACTGTATCAGCTATTTTGCTATAAAATTCCAGTGCAGAGAAAGCGCTCATTCATGACGAAGCAAAGATAAAACTGTGTTGACCTCATCTTTTTCACATGATGATAAAACCCAAAATCTACCTCTCTCTTGATTAAAGCACTCGTCCGGCAGAAATTAAGATCAACTCCTAAAAACATTAGTACAGAATTCAACTTGGTATTCTACTTTTCAACTTTCTTAGGATAAGTAGGGTTTTTTTGAAAATTCTAATAGAAGCACAATGAAAGGAGAAAATGCACTGGGATTTTTATGATTAGATAAACATTGTATTTCCTTTTTTTATTTTCTTCTTCCTTGGAGAAAGGAAGGAAGGGAGGAAAAATTACTTTTTCTGGCAATAGAGACATCAATATAGGATTTTTAAAAAGAACCCGTTACTACATCACTAAAACTACTGCAAAACATACATTCAAGGATGAATGTGAAAATCAAATACCTAAGTGTCAAATGCCTAAAAATGTCATTTAAGCTCAATTTATTAACTCTATCCTTTAATTTCTTATATTTATAGAAGAAAAATGCTCCCTGTTATCAAAGAAGACTCAGCCAATAAAACCCTAGTAAATACACATTTCAACTTGTATTTTAAAAACATGTCTTTTCTCCTCTGCTCTCCAATCCCTTCTCCCAAAACCCAGAGACAGCAGAAGTACCTCCTGTCTGAGAGTCAGAATATCAAACCCTAAAACAATACAACAAAATTTTCTCAGTTACTTTCCTGGCATGACTAATTTATTTTCAGAAGAGTTGATAATAATGAATATAGGAAAACAGAGAGTGTATCTGAGTTGGTAAACTATCATGATAGATTTGCAAGGCTGACTTCTTAAAGCTCGATAAGCAACGTAACTGCATCTAAACCCACACATATTCTTAAACAACTTAAGCAACTAAGCTTTAATCTCTTAGCCAAATGCCTATTTATCCAAAGATTTTGGATTTCCCCTGAAAGCATGGCACAAAGACAGCTTATACAGTAGCAAGAGCCTGCGATAAAAAAAAATATAAAGAAGGGGCCAAGCCACATAGTAGATTCATGCATGTAGATTATCCTAAAGGATAAACGGGCCCAGAAAGATACTGCTTTTCTGTGAAGTCTTTTCATGCAATGACAAAGCCTGTTTTTTTCCAGAGACTCAGACTGCTCTGTTGACTAGTATGGAACACATACACAGGAATACATACACCTGTTTCTTCACTAATCCACACTAATGCTCAAATAACAGTTTAACCGGTTGCTGAGGTGCAAAGCAGATCAGTTGGGCAGGGTGAAGGAAGGGAATCCCACAAATAAAATGATGAATAACAGCATGCAAACCTACAGGTACCTCATCTAGAAATCACACTTGACAATCACATTACAGCTATGGTCTACTAAGTTTCCTGAAAAACACGTTGTCTAAACGATCACACTTCATAATTGGGGAATAGAACTACTAAGAAAATAAAATCTGACTTTTATAAGGCGCATAAACGCTTTTTGCTTTTTTCCCAACTGAGACAACACCTACGTGGAAACGTCTTGGATATATCATTAGCTACAGTTTTTCAGACACACACATATATTTTTATTCTTTCATTGGGAAAACATGAGGTGAAAAACCATCTTTCAATTCTTGCATTAGGAATGCTGCTAAAAAAGTATATTGTTTGGCACAATGGCAGAGCAGTCTGTGATTAAAGAGCAGGATTCAACAAACAACTTCACTTAAAACATTTGTGGGAGTTTGATAAACTAGTAAGCTAAAAGAAGTCTGAGACCAAGGAACAAAGGCTACCATTAAATGCAAATGTTCTACCTGCACTATGTCACAAATTTCAACTCTTTCCAAAACATGCTTTTGAAATCTCATTTATAGAAACATTCCCTCCAAAATCCACCAACACTAAAGATGGACGAAAACTGTTTTTTTTCTTTAAATACAGATAAAAAAAATTCATTTTCCACTGAAATCTGTAAGCTTTTCTATCTATTCTAAAGCCACTGAAGAAGCTGTTTGAAAGGGACAGTGTACAATAAGTTATAAAACTCACTGACTTCAGTGAAACCGGAAGCCAAGTGACTGATTACTTAATTCATTTCACCTTTTGGGGAAGAAATCAGAAAGTAAAATTACAGTGTGATAAAAGAGGATTAGCCAAGTTTACCTGAACGTATAAATTTCTTCCAGCCCCCCTTCTTCGTCCAAAGTATGCATCAGTTTCCTCACCACATCAATGCCTTCCTTCTGTTGCTCAGTTAAACCCTTTCTCGGAAAAGAGTTTCTGTGCATTTGAGAATGTACACTGGCATTTGTATCTCCACCTCCATCATCAACATCCACTGGAAATGGCAGACTAAGAACACAAGCAGAAGCAGTTAGTTTGACTTTCTTCTTGATTAAAATAACCAACCAAAGCCAAAACAAAAATTGTATCAGGATCAACAATTTCTGTCTAGCTCCAGTCAGATGTATAAAGAGCCACATGGCTGGCGAAACACATGAAGTAGTATTTCAGGTCTACTTGGCATTGGTAACATCTTGACCAGAGTGCTGCACCAGTTCTGGGCATCATACGTCAATAAAGATGTCCACATACAGGAAGGGATTAGGGAGTAAAGACAATGACGATTAGAAAACAAGATCTATGAAAAAAGACTGAACAAAATAAAGCCTGTAGAGAAGGGAGTCAGAGAGCAAGACAGGCTTAAATATAAAAGGCTGTGGCAGAGAGGAAGGGAACAATCAGTTCTTCATATTCAGCCTGCACATCATGGAGTCAGGTCAGATATTCAAAAACCTGATAAAGGCATTTCAAACCATAATCTCTAAAACCAACTGCCTGAGGAGATAGAAGAGTTTCCTTCGCTGGACATCTTTATAAAAAGATTAAATAAACACCACTTAGCAATGACATACATACAACTGACCCAGTCTGAAGTAGAGGACTTCTCTAGATGACTTGTTAAAGGCCCTTCCAGGCCTGTGATTCTGTATCAGCTCTAAATGCCAGCAAACAGGACTTGCTCTGCAGTGGGGCTATTAGGTATTTCTGGAATAAATGTTACTCTTTGAGATTTTAATAGCTTACAACACTAGGTGAATTTCTGACTGAAGATGACACATTTTCCTGCACTTCAAGAATCAGATTTAAAACTTTAGCCAGGGGTTATAGATAAAATTATTTTGCTGCTCTTCAAAATATAACAGAGTTAACTAAGTATAATAACCACAGAAAAGAGAGATGTGTAAGATCCTTTACTCTGTGCCTCTGACAATGCCTGCAGATTTTTCAAATCTTTCGTCTGATCCAATTTTGAATGAACCACATGATACTTTTTACCACATTGCCACAAAGTAGAAGAATTTTAGCATTGTATTCTGTTTTCAAAAAGCAGCCTACAGATCTCTACCTTACTTTCACCTCATTAGTACTCACTAAACTTATCTGTGGAGCAACATACAATAATCAGATTTAACAATATGCACAACAATGTCACATACAGCAGAATTAAAAGATCAAACTTCAGCAAAGTGTTTGGTACCTTTTAAGGAAGCAGCATCCACTGACAAAGAGAAACTGTATTTTAAAGCAGTTATGACAGCAAAAAGCTTCAAACCTCTGATACATAAAAGTTAGATTACTTTCATTATACAGTGCTTAGAGTCCTGTGATGAGAACTGTGTAATACCCAAAGCTACACAGTGCTCAGCATGTGCTCAGTCCTTGGTAACAGAGAGGAAAACCAACTATGTCTGTCCTGGTTTCGGCTGGGATAGAGTTAATTTCCTTCCTAGTAGCTGGTACAGTGCTGTGATTTGGATTTAGGATGAGAATAATGTTGATAACACACTGATGTTTTAGTTGTTGCTCGGTAGTGCTTACCCTAGTCAAGGACTTTTCAGCTTCCCATGCCCTGCCAGCGAGAAGCTGGGAGGTGGCACAGCCAGGACAGCTGACCCAAACTGGCCAAAGGGATATTCCATACCATATGATGTCATGCTCAGTATATAAACTGGGGGGAGTTGGCCAGGGGGCGGCAACTGCTGCTCGGGGACTGGCTGCGCATCTGTTGACGGGTGGTGAGCAATTGCATTGTGCATCACTTATTTTGTATATTCTTTTATCATCATTATTATTATTTTTGCCTTCCTTTTCTGTCCTATTAAACTGTCTATCTCAACACACGAATTTTACTTCCCCCCCGCCCCGATTCTCTCCCCCATCCCACTGGGGAGGGTGGGGAGTGAGCGAACGGCTGTGTGGTGTTTAGCTGCCTGCCGGCTTAAACAACAACAGTCCTGTTGGCACCCAACGTGGGGCACAAAGGGTTGAGATAATGACAGATCTGACCAGAGCGTGTTAAGGTAAATTTGTTATAAGCATTCATCATATTGGTTTAATAGTCGCTGGTCACAATGTTGATTAATTTACTCTCAAAGTTGTCGTGCTTGCTCTCAAAGTTTTTGTGTAACACCTTACTTGCTGTACATGTTCCCTGTTGTGCTGTCTGTCACCTCTGGGAGCTGGGGCAAGGATATCATTTTGCTGCACTGTGTAACACTACTGGTTTATGATATGATAAAAGTATTGGTTGTGAGACTAATTTTTGTATTTGTACTTCTGTATTTCTACTCAGCATTGCCGTCACCTATGTACCTCGGGAGCCACTTTTCGGAAACTGTTAATAATTACATCTTTTACCTTTTCTCCCTGGGGAACCAACCTATGGGGGAGATGGGAGGGGGACACTTTCCTTCGCTCCTTCACCTTCCCTTTCTCCTTCAGGCTAGTTACAACAGCTCTTGAGAATTTTGAATATCCTTGGGATGTTCAAACCAGCATGGTCCTATTGCTATGTCTCCTGAATGTGGTTCAGGTCTTGTTTATGGTTAAACAATCATCTAAGAATACCATCCAGAGATCAACCCCTGCTGACAGGCACTGCGGCTACTCAAACCCCCATTGACAGGCACTGCGGCTACTCCAACCCACAAGTTACAACCTAATCAATAAACAGGGCGTAAGAGATGGAAGCACGGGTTATAACAAAAGGACAAGGTTGAGCAAGAAATTATTTTTAAACCAGTACCCTGAGTATTTTACATTTGTATATGTATTTCTCAAAGCATCATTTGCTCGTGTGGCTGGGAGACAGGGCGTAAATCTGCAGTTGATGCTCTAACAGCAACATTTCCCTAGTGCTTCTATTAGCCATGGGGCTTTTCCTTTGCAACATTACAGACAAAGAAAATGTAAAGATGTATCAGAAATCTCACAGAATAAAACTGCAACATTAACTTGTGGCGGTAGCATCTGCACTAGTCTGCACAGCAAACTACAGGTACGGAGACAAGGTAGCAGGGGCTAAATACAAGGTCTCTGAAAGATGTAACGCTGGCTGGCAGCATGTACTCAGGTTCATGGTACTGTGTCTCCACTGCCTCCAGTGCCAACAATAGCTCAAATAACCTAGAAGGGGCACGTCAAGGCATGTTGCGAGCATAACTTCTTTTGCTGTGTAGACAGAACCTGAGAGCAGTCTGACATTTTTACATTCAGTCTCTCCCAAGCACAGGCAAAAAAGAATTTTTCTGTGGAGGATCAGCCCATGATTTTCAGTCACACTTTCCTACCTAACCCCTCTGTTACGTTGCAGGTGGATCCGCAAATGGCTTTAATGAATTTATAAAGTTCACAACATTGCTCCTTACAGAATGCTGGATCTAAGTGAAAGTAAATATTAAAATGGTCAGAAGTAAAACTGCGGCTTTAACTTTCCCCTGTGAAATCATTTGTTATAAACAGCAAACATTAACATTCACACAAAGTTTTGCTTCTAAATATCCTACTAGGCCTATAGCTTCCTGTGTTACCATCATGTGCAACAACTAACACAGATCTCGGCACCAGCATTGATTCTTCAGGTCAATGCCTATACATGTACTAAGACAGCCAAGGGATTCCTCTCATAATGTGTAAAACATTGCTTCCATTTTCCACTTCCATTTTCCAAGCCCATCACTGTGAATATAACCCTTCTCTTCAGACTTGCTTTTCTACTGACACCAGAATCAGGCTATAAACATCTGCAACAATACCTCGTTATTTCTTCCCAGTAACTCCCTTACCTAAAAGGATCTAGGCTCTTGCTGTGACAAAACCACTGCTTCTGATGCTATTTCTGGCTTACTGTTTCCCACTTCTCTGCTTATATAGATCTTATGTCTCCCGTTTCAGACTTTGGCTCTAAGCTATAAGCTTAACTGGAGAAGAAGCCATTATCTTAACACGTATTTGCACATCACTTAATCAAGGGGACTTAGTTCATAACTGGAATTCATGGCATGTGTAATTGATGTAAGTACTTATAACACTCATCACATACTGGTATACCTCTATATAAACAATACACCAAGAGATCACCAGCTCCTTCAAGATCGTTATTAAGAAAGAATAATAATTTCCTTTTAAAAAAATGGCATAGTGTATAACAGCCACTTCTATACTTACAAAAACTGAAGTGAAATTCCTGTTTTCTTCAAGTTAGCAATGATAATTTCCAGCTGATCCTCACTGACAGGACTACTAAGGTCTGTAAACAGTTCAATGTGTCTCTTCTCATATCTCTTTCCTCTTAAAATACAAAAAGAACATTTACATATATCAGAAATATCTAGAAGGCCTTTTTCTAATTCTTTCCTTGGTAAAGCTTCAATTTTGCAAAGTGATATACTTGTAAAAAAAAAAAAAAAAAAAACAAACCTACTTGGTAGAGCTTGTTCTATCATTGCTCATATTATTTATGGTAAGTTTTTATCTTTATATGATTCCCCCTACTCACTCCCACCCCCTAAAATTGAGGGCTCTAGCCCTGTGACTGTATAAATCACTAACTACATCTAAATGAATGGAATCCTGCCAATTTTCACCAATGTAGATAAAACGCTAATAAAATGTTAGGTTGTTTATTGATTATACTGGATATCTCCTTTGCAGCTGTAAGCCTGTCCTTGTGAAAATGGAAAATGTATTTTAAATTACTGTTGCTGGCGGGGGTTCCATTTCAGTAAAGCCAATTCAGTAGATTCATTGGATAAGATGGACTTTAAAGCCTACTTAATACGCCAAGAAGTAGTAACAATAAACATCAGAAAGTTCTGCCAGCTACAGAACAGAATTCAGTTAAACTGATATAATTTTTATCTGGATATTCAAGCATGAGGGTGATTTTCTTGAATTTTTACCCAATAGTATTTTCTCAACTGAAGGTAAATTCCATATCAAAGGATCTGGTGCATACATGCAACTTATTGACAAGATAACAAAAGCAGTTGCTCCATAGGTATTCAAGGTTATACTGCCATAAATACAGTGATTTTAATTCACAACTCAGTTCTAACCGTTAAATTGATACAGTTCTCCATGCCGATTAGACTTTAATCATAAAAATACAAATTGCATCACTAAGTCTAGTCTTCTGCATTCACAATTAGATCATACAATCTTCTTAACAACATGTTCAATCTCTGTTTTGAGAGGAAGTAAGGCTATCTTCCTTTCCCTGGACCATCAGTCCACTGAGTGTCAGAAACAGCCACATTTCCAGTTGTCCATTCATTGACAACTTTGTAACACTTGTGCCAACATTTTCTTTCAGCTTAAACAGTGTTTCTTCCTACTGTACATTTATCTCCCACACCCTGCATATTTACAAACAGCCACCTTATCTCCAACAGCCTTTAAGGTGCTAGGCTGAACAAACTCACCTTTCTAGTTTTGCTTTCTTTTTTTTCTTTGTAAGATACGGTAGCCCTTTTCTATGCATTTTAGCATCTGAATTAATGTTTTTTGAAAACAGATCACAAGAAATGTGACACTAAGTGAAGTCTTTGTGCCTTGTATAATGGCATTAATGTTCTCATGAATCTACTGCAAAGTTCCCAGTTGCATCAGAAAGCTCTTAGATTGTCTGGAGAAGCTAGATGTCTCCTGGGGATTCTTCAGGGACAGACTCCTGTACTGTGTTGTTTGTTTTGGTTTGGTTTTGGTGTTGTTTTTTTAAAATCATTTTCCATATTTACAAAACACTGGAAATGTAATACTGACAATAAATCAGGTCAGCTCCAAAGTGCAAGGGCAGAATTCTGTAAAAGGCTTTGGCTTACATACTCACATTGTTTCCTTCTGAAGCAAGTCCATACACACAATAATTGCATCCAGAACTAAGCGAATTTAAGAAAAATCTCATCTAGAACATGAATCATGTCACAGAGGTGTTTCTCCTGTGAAACAATCTTCTGTTTTCACCCCCTCCCAAACACTAACAAACATACATTTTAGTTAACAACCAAACAATTTTCTGAGACAAGTACTCTTCAAATATCTACTGTGCAAGAAGTTCCTATATAACTTGTCTGTTTTGTAATCTTGTCTCTTCCCCATTTATCTGATGGAACAGTAAAAAGACTGCTTCAGGGCCCAATCTTTTAACTGTCAATGAGGAGGCTCAAGTCCAACGAAAGAGCAATCTAATCTTTACAACATTACTTTGAATCCACAAACACAATTTACTTGTACTTTCAATACATGATACCATTTTCTCAAGCAAGTTTTCCTTCAAAACATCTGCATCTGGCAATCTCTTGATAGTTTCTTCCTGACCACAATTTTCATTGGGAACATATTTTTATCACTGTGCACAAACCTGCCCACCGATTGAAGAAGGAACATGACTCTGCTTCTGCTAAGATACAGCTGACCGGCTACACGCTTCTCTGAAACAGCTCTGACAGTCTGAACAGACCTCACTGCAATCATTTTATGGCCAGAAAGAGGGAAGACAACACGGGAAGTTAGAACAGTATGTAAATGAAACACACAATGGGACACTATAGAGATTGCCTTGTTTTAAAACTCTTCACCTTATGCAGCTAACAACAGAACACATTCAAACATGAACAACATTCAAACCAGCAAGTGACATTTGGTAGTGTTAGAAATACTTCATACAGAAATCAATCTGATACATCTCTATTCTGTTTTGTCTGGCTTCTGGTACTTCTGCTGACATATTTTGTAAATAATATTTTTATTTGATGAAAAAGCATAAACCAAGTTCTGCAACACTATTTTTAAAAAGACATGCCTTATTTGAGGCCTAAAATTATATTATTGCTATCTTTGTTCTCTTTAATTAACAGAGCACTTCATAAAAGTAACGATTCCCAAAGGCCAAGAGACCATCTGCTAGCCTAAAAGAATGTCAAAAAGCAGTTAATCTGCTTTTAAACAAACTTACAACCACAAATTAGCTGAACTCCGATAGTAGTTAAAACTTCAGAGGCAAATCTGAGCCCATTTCACAACACTAACTTCCTGTCTCCTATGTAGCTGAATCAGTTCAAGAAGAGCTCTACAACGAAAGGATACAGTCTGCTTGTTCAGAGTCTGGTTTAATCACATCTTGAATATCTTCCAGCAGATCAAAATCTGGTAGCATTAGTGACCTATGTACAGTAATGTTTTGGTATTGATCCCCACTGGCGAGGTCATTCCTAGTACCATCTGTGCCAAACAACACTACAGCAACTTCATCTTTACTCTCAGCAAAAATCTGGAGACAGAGAAAATACAAAACAGGTATAAAAACACAGGTAGATTCATACACAACTATATTAGGTAGATTTGAGCAAGCTGAACTAATCTTGAAACAACATCAAGCACAATGGATTTACTTTTTCTTACTTTTTCAGTCCTATCTTACCTTACCTCTGCAATCTTACAGAGAGTTCACTAATTTAGATATAATTAAACTAACAGACTGACATGAGGATATCTGGCATAAAACAAGTAAAACTGGCTGACTCAGTCCTTGAAATGAGTCTTCAGTATGGTAAATATTAAGAAGGTTGAAACATTTTAGAGAAAGAGAAGAGAACTTTTTTCCCCTAAAAGTTTCTACTGCCCTAAAGAAAAGGAGTGATCAATCCAACTGCCATATCTCCACAAAAGTACAGCTGAAACAAAGAGCACTGTTACTCCTGCATAAAAATGGACTAATTCTTACTCATTTCTCATTTATTTCAATTATTAGTAAATGAGGAAAATATTTCACAGATGTCATTGCTTCCTCTCCCTTTTTAACAGTTTTTAATCACATGTAAAGTCACACATACCTGTCGCTGCACAAACTTTGTCATAACCTTCTTGGCTTGTTCAAGTGAAGACTCCTCACCAGAGGCAGAATTGCTCATTGTAAAGCCCACATCCAGGCACAGCACTACGGCTGCCTAGACAGGAACGACAACACTGAGTAAGAATGTAAAAGGGCCAATATAAGCATAATTACTTAAAAGGGTTAGTTCAGATCCTTGAACATACAAAACCTAAAAATCAAACTACGTCACTATTGGTTTCTTTTACAGTAACTGTTATTCTCACTGAACTGAGAATCATTTAATCCTGTACCATGTTCCAGGCATCTCAGTGGAAAATACAAAAAATCCTACGTTACACAATAATATGTTAAGAGGGGCAATTTCTGTTCAACCCCGTGAACATACCAGGGAACTAAAGGCCCACTAGGAAATAAAACAGAGATATTTCAGTTGACAATTACCAGCACAACACAATACACTATATCTGCACAACACAAGGTGGACATACAAGCTTGTGGCCTAAACTCTACAGCAACATCCACCCCTCGCAGTAGCTCGCAATAGCTGTAGACCACTGTTTGGTCTAACCCAAGAACATAAGAACGACTGCAGTTCTATGACTTCCAGGGAGAGCCAGAACATTTGTTGCTACTGGAAGTGTCTCTGCAGTGATCACCGGTGCCTACAGCACACAGCTATGCTCTTAAAGCCTCAGAAGGATGAATTCCGATTTCAACTTAGGGGCTTAAATCCCACAAGCTAGCATATGTGTTTGCATTTCTGATCATTGCTTTAACCAATCTATATATAAGTGCCCAAGTCTTCCCCTTAATTGATTTATAAACTAGCATATGAATAAAGTAAAATTGCATCTTGTGATTTCTCTTGTTCAACATTTACTAATAATGAGTATTATCTGCAATGTGTTGCCCATTCAACTGGTTTTGCTAAGTTCCTCTAAAGTTCTTCCACAGACTCTACTCAGCTTGATTAACCTAAGTAATTTTATCATCCAGCTGAACGAAGGTACAAGACAAATACCGCAAAAATATGTCCTGCATCTCCAGGGACAATGACAAAAGGCCAGCTCAAATTTATTGTGACTGATTAAGCCAAGGTTTTTTTAAATACACATCAAAACCTTGTCTGGTGGATAGCCAGTAGCTTCAATTACACTGCGTACAAAAAATTATTGTTTGCCAGAACACAGGAAAGTTAGGTATTACCTAGTTTGGAACCAGTCAGCTTGTTTTAAAATACAAAATCTATCCAGTTCTTTAAGAAGTGAAGCTGCCAAAAGGACGCGGGCAATAAATCAGAAGATTGAGAATTAAGCGACACAAGATGCATAGTCTGCTTTTGCAAAACAAAAGGGATGAACAGAAAGAAAAGGTGTTGGTCTAAGCTCTTTTGCATATGACCATGCAAATAACTCCAAGTACCTTTTTAAACATCAACCAAAAGAACCTGATTCTTTTTGTCACCCAAATAGATATTTCTTAATATCAAGTTTATAGAAATAATTTGCCCAGATTAGCTGTCTAATACTCTGAATTAGCAGCTCTCAAACTATTTTCTTATCCTCCTCCTTTTCCCAAAATATATTGTGCACCTCCCCTGTCATTTTAACAAGCACTGGTTTAACTCCCTGCATCCTCCTAAAACAGGACAAGGGGAAGAAAGAAAGACGACTTAGCAACAGGACTCCACAAGACATCCAGCAGGTTGTACTCAGTCTCAGCTTATTCCTCACTCTGCTTTCACTGGTGGCTTGCCTGGGAGCTAGGAATTAATGCCTCTGAGTCAGCTAGGTCTGCAAAAGCTTAGAGTGAAATAGAGGCAGTAACTGGGGCTGCACTAGGTTCTAACAAGAGCCTTGTTACTGCTCACCTGCCAGCCTGAGGAATTACTCTACCAGCTTCAGTAACTGCAGACCCTCTGCTTGTTGCTGTCCTGCCTCAAGACACACCATGGCTGTCAGCTGAATCAATCCTGTTGTCAAAGCCAGGTAAAATGCTCTTCACAGCTGGCAAGATGACAGCAAAGAAACTGAGCAGATGCAGGAGCGAAGAGCTGCTGTTTTACTTGAGAGAAAATGATCAAGTGTCAAGTGCTAACATGCTCTTCTGGAAGGCAGCAAACTCCAAGCCTGGTGCCTATTCAGGTATGTGGAATCCTCCTTCAGGAAGAGGGCAGGTCTCTCTTTTGGTAATCCTCCTCTATATGTCCCTTCATCTGTTATGAACCTCTGTGCATCTCACCTCTGAGCATCCAGTACTGCCATTTTCAGGTGCAGTATTCTAAGCTACGCTTTTAAGATACTCAGCATGTGTGATTGTAGGACAACATTGTCACACCTGAGCTAACATCAATCTGCTTTGCTCAAGTACTGATAAGCATGAAAACAGAACGAGCCTGCCTTGATCTATAACCTCTCAGTGCTGAAGCTAGTTATAATAAAGCTAAGAGAGATATGGCTACAGCAGCACTTTAGCCTTCAGCACAGACTTTGCCTGTGTTTAACAGATACTAAACTGCCCTGTATCAGAACAGAGCTTAACACAGCTTTCACCAACAGGGTTCCTTAAATGTACCAGACAAACAAACTGCATTTTTAAAAGGGCAAACCCATTTTTATTATTTTAGCAAGAGCAACGGCAATTACTACTGTGGTAGCTGCACTGCACTCAAAACTGCAGCTGCCCCCGAGACAGGAATACTGAAGTCCCTTTGAATTAGACAGCTTTGTACCAGCAGCACTTCGGAGGTCGGCACAGGGAGGAGTCACCCGGTTTTAGAGATGGGTTTGGCAGCCCTGGCGGTTGTGCCGTTTGCTACAAATACCGAGTCAGCTCACTGAGGGCCAGCCGGGCCGGCTCCGCCCCACGCTGACTGCGGTACAGACAACCCGCCCAAGGGCAGTAAAGCCAATTCCCTCAGGTGAGCGTG